CTTCTATATACTGCCTTATGGGTTTGGTATTCACAACAGTGAATATATTCATTATTACATGGTTTTGACTCTTAAAATTGATGCTTTAATGACTTTCAAGCTAGCATTACAGCTGAGGCAAAAAGATTGTCATTTTTGTAATTCAAAAAGTTCAATCCCTGGCCAGGAAGCTGACCCACATGGCGCAGCAGACCTCTCTTGTCTCGCCTGCTGCTCCCCTCAGCAGTGTATTTCAGTAGATCCACCTGTCCTGCTCTCCCTACTCTGTCTCTGGTGAACCCTCTCATCCCCCTCACCTCTGGCCTACACCCCAGTTCTTGTATGCATAAATAAATATATCTTTAAAAAAAAATCTGTAAGGAAATAGAGCAGACTCATTACAATCTAAATGAGGAGACATAGTTGAAACATTTGTAAATTTTTAAATGTAATTTAAAATTTTTTCTAGGCTAAGTGCTATTTATGGAGGTACTTACATGCTGAATAAACCAATTGAAGAGATCATTGTGGAGAATGGAAAAGTGATTGGTGTACAATCTGAAGGAGAGGTAAGTAACATTTATAATTAAAAATATTGTGTTCTTATAAAGACATTTTTGTTAACCAAAAGCACTTAATTTGTTACGGATATTGATGCTAGATTTCAGATTATAGCTGATTCTTGGTACACTGGCTTACATAAAGGAATAGATAGTGATGGAAAAACACAGCTCTTGGACCACTCTGGTGGCACAGGGTTCAGTCTCAGCACTGTCATGCTATTGTCCCTATGGCCTGAGTTTTATTCTTCGTCAGGGACCTGACCCAACATGGCGTAGCAGACCTCTTCTGCCCACTGTTTCCCTAGCAGTGTACTTCATTGGATCCATCTGTTCTGCTCCCCACTCCACTTATGAGTCCTCTCAACCCATGTACCTCTGGCATACACTCCAGTTTTTGTATGCATAAGTAAGCAAAAATAAAACAAAAACCATTTATTTGGATAGAATTAGCTCATAGGTTCATCAGTAGCTCTTATTTTTTTCATAAATGTCATTCTGAGTCATTGTGAGAATAATCCTTATTTAGAAAACTAAAATTTGGCTTATGTTGAAACATTTTAATATTTATGGGGAGTCACCAGTTCAAAAATGCAAAATGAAGGGTGATGTAATGAATATATTAAAATTTTTTAATTAAAAAAACTTTAAAAAACACAGATCTTAATACTTTGTATTGTATTAATTACTGCTTAAATTACACATTTATGGGTGAGCTATGAATGGTAGAATTTGTATTTACATAATGTGGATTGTAGATTGCTCCCATATTTTCATTTAAATTTACCTTTTTTGCACCATTTATAGTTGATTGAAATTAGGGTTGGTCAGTATGAATCATTTTTATTATTTAATAAAAGGTACTTAATAGGGCCCTCCCTGGTGGCATTGTGGGTTAAAGCACAGCACTAAGAAGCGAAAGCCACTTCCCTGCCCCGGAGGTGACCCACATGGCATGGCAGACCTCTCCTGACCCACCCGCTGCTCCCTCAACAGCTATTCCTTGATCTGCCTGTTCTGCTCCCCACTGTCTCTGGTGAATCCTCTCACCGTCCCTGCACCTCTGGCCTGTACTCCAGTTCTGTATGCATAAATAAATAAATCTTTTTAAAAAATTAGTATTTGTTTAGGGCTTTCTCAAGTTTGAACTGCATATAAATTATTGTTAATTTTCCCAAAGTGCATGCTCTTGTTCAGTAGGCTTGCAAGCTCTTGGTTCGTGCCAGTGCTATTGGTCTGTGAACCAGATCATGTAAATTTCATGAAATATTAATTCTTACAATTAAAGCTTTGCTAAAAGATAAAAGATTTTAAGCTAAAAAAGATTTTGGTATTCTTGATGTTATTTCATGGATTAAGATCATGTATATAACCACACTCTGTAATTAGCCATTTAAAGCATTATTATTGTGTATCTTTTATTAACTATCTTGTGCATAAAAGATGTTTAAGAAAAATGGATAGATGTTAAGGTGTTTTAATATGGTATCTCAAACTTAAAAGCAGTTTCATTTCATTTTTTGCTTCACACAACTACTTCCTCTTAGATTGCTCGCTGTAAGCAGCTCATCTGTGATCCCAGCTATGTAAAAGATCGGGTAGAAAAAGTGGGCCAGGTGATCAGAGTCATTTGTATCCTCAACCACCCCATTAAGAACACCAATGACGCCAACTCCTGCCAGATCATTATCCCACAGAACCAAGTGAATCGAAAGTCAGGTGAGTTTAAAGATCAGTATAATTTTGCTAGTTATGTCTTGTGTCCTACCCTAAATACTTAATTTCTGCTCTATTATAGTGAGGAAACTAGTTTACATATAATAAAGAAAATATGTAATAAGTCACAGACATTCAAAGTCATTACATCAAAATGAACAAATTCTCTGAGGTGTCCTGCATTGGACTTATACACACTGCTTTGGAGATGTTTCCTCGCCTATATTTAAGGGTGAAATAATTACATAAAAATTTGCTCCCAGGTTCAGTGTGCTATGCCTGTGAGGTTTATGCTTATTAGTAGATAATGACTCCACTGTATATTTGAGCCGATGATGATACTGCCTTTAAATCTATTTGTCAACTTAATCCTTCTATTCAGTATTAACGATGTTAGAAAACAGCTTTAAAATTAGGATTTAATGTTAAATAAAATTATAGTTCCTAATCTTTGGTTTAGTCAGTTGTTTTTACCCACTAGCTTTCCCCCATCCTTTTAGTTACCTTCTTTTAAGTAATAAAGAGCTGTCTATTAGTTTTCCATAAGATTATTAGAATAAAAGATTTGGACATCCTTCAGACTTGGCCAAGTGGGTGTAAGGTATCCGTAGTTATTTTCAATGTTAAATTCTGTAGATATGTAAGTGGCATGCAAACAAGTAAAATCTGAATTGTGAGTTTATCATGCCAGCTCAATCAGCTGATGTTGATTTGCAGTTTTATAAATGCAGGCCTCAGAAAGGAAGATGACCTCAAGGCAGTTAATATGGTTTGTCACTTTCCAGGTCTCTGTGGCAGAGCTGGCAGGTGAAATCTCTTTCCCACATCCAGTAGCTCAATGCTACAGAAATTTTCAGTCTCTGAGGCTTATAGTTACTAATATTTGAGTAATTGCCTCCATAGAGAATATAGTATAGAAACGACTGTTTCAAATAATTTTATTTTTCAAATTATGTTTTTCAGGTAAAGTTGATTTATATTACCTCTGGAGGTCATAACAGTGTATATGTTCATACCATGCCCAACCCAGTGCCCCAGTTATCCTCACCATGCTCCACTGGGCCCCTTGTTATTAGATACAAATCTCCAGAGGGGTCTCTGAAACCAATGTCATCCTTTATCTATTTTTCTGTACGTGCTTATATCTGTGTTTTGAGTAATTTCATATCATACCTCATTGAAATTTGGGTGAAACCTGAGTGTACACATGCCTTAGGTTTATAGACCTTGATAGTGAACTGGCATTACTCGTTTCTAGATATCTATGTCTGCATGATCTCCTCTGCACACAATGTGGCAGCACAGGGGAAGTATATTGCCATAGTGAGCACAACTGTGGAGACTGTGGAACCTGAAAAAGAAATCAGACCAGCTTTGGAGCTCCTGGAACCAATTGAACAGAAGTGAGTAATGTGTTCATTTATATCAGCTAAGGCTCCTCCATGGTGGTATGAACTCCATGGAAATGAACACTATGGTTGCCGTGTGGGTATCATTTTCAACTTCAGGCAGAGGGCTGGGTGGATATGAAGTCAGCCAACTTGTTAAATTTTTTTTTTTTTTCTTTTACAGATTTGTTAGCATCAGTGACCTCCTTGTACCAAAAGATTTGGGAAAAGAAAGCCAGGCAAGTGTGGTGATTGCTCTGAAAAGGTTATTGTTAGGCTCTCTTGGGGAAATATCCCTAGTCTTAAGTTTATGATTTTTATTTACAGATCTTTATTTCTCGCACATACGATGCTACTACTCATTTTGAGACAACCTGTGATGACATTAAAGACATATACAAGAGGATGACAGGATCAGAGTTTGACTTTGAGGAAATGAAACGCAAGAAAAATGACATCTATGGAGAAGAGTAACAACAGAAGATGTTCTCATCTAATTAGGACAAACTTAAAATTTGGCAAATAATGCATACTATATGAAATCAATATTCTAAGACCTGCTTTTGTAATCAGAATGAGATTGCGGAGCACTGTACCAGTAAATATTTCTCCCCTTTCTAATATCATGTATTAACTTGTTTTCATGGAGTGGCTATTCAGAATTGATAGGTTATAATTCTGTTGTTTAACCAATACTGGCTTTTATTTTTCCCTTGTGAAGGATCAGTTTTAGGGGAACATCACAGTACTGATACAGAGAACTTGATACAGTATTTGTATCTTTTAATCAGTGTAGCCTTTGCAATTATGTGCTTTTGCTGCTCAAGAGCTGGATCAGTACCTTGTGTGCCGTCTGTCCTCTTGACATTGCAATTCTAAAGCGAAAATTCCATAACTTGGGATAGCCTCCCTTTTCTCTATGCTGTTATATTTTGTGTCCAGTATTATGAAATTACCCACATAGCACAGCTATCAGTTCAGTTTGTGTGGGCCTAAAATCCTAATCAAACTTGACTAAAGTTATTTTGGAGGAAGCCTGTGTGCGGTGTTTCAATCTATAAAATTGATGACAGAAAAGGGGAAGAAAAACCTATTGTAAAGCAGGTAAAATGTAGAAGCTTCTTTTATATCCCAGTTGTGGCTTCTTCAATGGACCAAGCTGCAATGCAGTATTGATTTGACAGAGCCTCTACTTTAGTGATCTGTGTCAAAATGGCTCCAAATGATTTCTGTACTGCAAAATAAAGCCAAACTCTGGAAACCAGTTCCCTCTTGATTGATCTGTTATGTCTTGATATTTGGGAGCTTTTAAGTGTTGTATTTGACCATCACCCAGATGCTCCTTGCCTTCACTCAGTACAGCTAAAACTAGGGAAGAGATGCTAGAATAGGAGATGTGTGCCCAGTCATGATAGCACATGAAGACTCAAATGCGGATGAGTAAAACTGTTCATATCTGATTTCACTGTCAGTAGACCCCAGGTTATAGTAATATTATATAACAAGATACTTCAGAGGACTTTCAGGTATTCCTAGTGGTAGTTTAGAACAAGCATTCTTTTCCATACAGATACAAGTTGCCTTTAATAGTTTGCTGATAGCAACTTTTTAATAGGTGTGTCCTGTCCAGTATAATAAGTATCTCTGCTGATTGTTTCAAGTAATTTAGATTGTAGTTAGGAATGGTTCTTACTGGTACCTCCATTCTTTATAGTGAGGCCTTACTGTATGCTATAATTATATCTCAGCTGAATGAGGACATTTATAAACTATTTTCTCAGGCTAAATAATGGTTCTCAACAGTTGTCTGAAAGAAAGCCTAATAATCTGTTAAAGGAATTAGGACAGTAATTCTGATTGAGAAACTGAGCTAACAATAATAATTTAGGCAATCTCACTGACCAGACAATCTATTGTGTGAGGGGCGGGGAGGTGCTATCCTATATATTGATGTTTATTTAGCAGTATTTCTGACCTTTAAACCACTTGATGCCAATAATATCTTTCTAGCATGACAACCAGAATTGTCTTCCTGGGACACAAAATGGAACTGTATCTGCATTATATTTCTTCTGTCATTACACTTCCATTTGTGAACTAGTAATGCAAACAGAGGCATTAGTTTGGTTAGTAAACAAAAGAAGGAAAACCCAAGATATTTTCATGTTCTTTCGTACATACTCATAGAATAAACATGTCATCAGGCCTCACTGTAGGCCAGGTCATGGGTGGGTGACAAAGACATAGTCTGGAGGAGACACAGTATATGTTGTATTAAAACAGAAAAGATGTAGAAATAAAAAGGATGGTCTTGTGGGTAGTGGAAGACCTTTCAGCAAGGGGAAGTTGACATTTCAGGCATAATTTGTGAGAAGTGTCAGACAGTGTGTGGCAGATACAGGAATGAATGAATGTCAACTTTCCTTTAGTGACTTCAAGTTAAGTGGACTAAAATCTGCTAAGATTTCCAGTACAATTTCAACTTTCAAGTCACTACAGAAACAGTTAATTGCATTTTTAGCTGTCTTTATTAAAAAATGAAACCAAATTAGTTACAAAAAGTTGTTTCAAATTGATACTGTATATGTATCTTACAAATGTTTTTGCTCGGTTTTGAGAAATTCTAGTATCATAAATAAATTTATTTTCTCCCCCAGAGAGATGATTTTGTAGTTCTATTTACAAAAGCTGAGTGAGTGAAAAATGAGTTGTAAATTTGTACCATTCAGGAAAAAATGCTTCAAGTAGTGTTTTGAGTAACAGTCAATAAAACAGTTAATAGTTTCTATGAAGGTGATAAAATCTTTAAAACACCATATGACATGCATTACATTATGCCTTTCTAATTAACATGCAAAAACAAAGCTACTGGTTAAAATACTTGTTATGACACAGTAAACATTTTCTATTTTAGCAAAGCATTTAAAAAAAACCAACAAACTTTCTCCCAAGTTGTAGCAACACTGATTTTTCAAAGAAAAAAATAATTTATTGTTGGCATCACAGATGTCTAGGCAAACTGCAGCTGAATCACCTGGATAAAGACAAAATTGGTAAGAACGCTGTCTAATGGGGAAAGAATATGTCTAGGTTAATTATCTACTACATCTGTCAAGTTTACTGCCAGGTGAAAAGGCACATCATTTCTGACAAATAACAGGTAGTTTCAAGTAGACTGGTTATTTCATTAGTGGATCCTGAAATCCTCATTTATGCCAAATCAACAAACAGTTCCATGGGTAAAAACATGAACAGAAACAAATGTCACTAACTGCTTCAAGTCACACGTGAGAGTATATAAGGTGTTCTTACCAATAGCTGGTCCTAAATGGAGCTGCTACTTTTTGTATTTTTTCAATAAAATTATTTACATCTGTGACAAGGATGCCGCTATTTTCAAAGATTTCTCTGGAGACAAGCTTTTCTGTAAAAAAAAAAAAAAAAAAACTTTTGGAGAAAACATTAGGAGAATCCCTGTACCCCATTTTAAGAACTGTTTGGGATTCTGAGAGCAGCTGACACCACTGATTAAGGATTTGAGGGCTAGTTACTATTTTTTTTTTTAAAGATTTATTTATTTGTGCATACAGAACTGGGGTACAGGCCAGAGGCTCATGGGCGGTGAGAGGCCTCACCAGAGACAGTGGGGAGCAGAACTGGCAGATCGACTAAGTACACTGCTGAGGGGAGCAGCGGGCGGGTCAGGAGAGGTCTGCTGCTCGATGTGGTCACCTCCGGGGCAGGAATGGAACTCATGCGGAGCCGCTTTAGATTCTCAGTGCTGTGCCACCAGGGATGGCCCGCCAGTTACTATTTTTAAAGCTTGAGTCACATAAAGCTAAACATTTAGAAACACTAAGTATAAAATCAGTACTATAGGTGATTAAAAAACTAAATGACAAAAGCCACAATGCCCTTTTATCACCCTGACTGTAATGCACATTTAAAAATACACTAGGCTAAAAGTTTATTCTTGACAGCCAGTATTGAAAATATCCACCTATCTGACGTGCCAATCATCTGTAGAATAGAGCTATTTGGGTGTTGAACTAACTAATGAAAACAGAACTCTGGCTGTGAATTTACCTGTTAGGAAGACAGCAAACCTGGCACGTATATGCTGAATTTGCAGATTTATCAGGCATTTCAAATGTTCTGCTTTTGGTGACGATCGAGTGTCACACTGATGATAATGAAGCAATTCAATGATATTTGCACTCTGGTAAGATTTCAGTATTAAGTTCTTTTTATGTGCAGATGGATCCACTCTGGAAAAATACATAGAAATAGTAGCTACCTTAGTATATGTTTATGAATAAAGTTAATTTTCCTACATCTTAGTTGTTTCATTTTGTTCTCTTCAGTAAAGTTACTTACTGTAATTTCTTGTGTTAAAACTTGTATGAGATCCTTGTTTGCTTCCAAGATATTACTGTCACATTCCCTTAAAACATTGCAGATATACTTACTACTATTGTAAATACAGATTAAAACAAGCTACAAGGGCCTCATTTTGAGATAGAGGGAAATCTACACACTGTTCTGGTCTGTCCAACATCAACTTAGCAAACCTTTCATTTATATAGAAATGGCTTCAAATCTTAAGTTTCTTTAAAACCTCAATTCTTAGATGGTTTTAGTCCGATGATCAACTTAAATTCTACAGCAGCTAGACTCTCCTTATTTTCTCACCTCAAAATCTCTTACTTGCTTTCTTTCCACTATTAAATATCTTTACCTCTGCTCTTGATTCCATTTCTCCAGTCTTTTCCATTACTTACATCCTCTCTTATTTACTGGAGAAAACCACAATCAGGTATTCCCACAACTCGTGACAAGTACTAGTAACATCAAGATGAACTTTAAGGCTTTATCCTTGGTATAATGTGAATATATAATGATTAACTGCCAACTATAGTTTGATACTTTTATATAAAGAGATTTCATGTTTCTACTGATTATATTGTATATTTTTGTATATTAAAAAAATGTATACAGTGCTTCCACATATCCTTATATCTGCCTAGAAATGGGTTTGAGGCTGGTTTTATAGTTTCTGATAGCCACCCATGGCTTTAAACATCTTTGCTGAGAATGGTTTTTGAAAGTTAGAATTTTTTTGGTTTATTAAGTTCCCCCAATTGGGGGTGAGGAAGTTAAGTAAAGCACTCTCATTATACCTATTAGCACTCTCATTATACCTGTTATGTGCCAGCGGAATATGTCTGTTTATCCAAGTCCTATAAATGCTAAATTTCTATTTAGTAATTTTAATTTTATAATTTTAGTGTCATGTAGCATCTTAGAATTTTAATTTACTAAAGTTGAACTTTTTCTTTGTGAAGTATTAATAACCGTTGTCTCTTTCCCCCCACCTTTTGTGGCCATATAATTTGTTGGTTCTACCCCTACAGCTTTTTCTCATAGATAAAAGCTTTTCCTGTTAAAATCTCTCAGTCATCTGTAAAGATCCTGTGCAGTTTTACAATTTCAGCTGAAAAAGTATAAACATGAAAATATCCCAGGGGTGAGCCAGCTTCACAACTCCCTCCTTGTTTGACCAGGGTCAGGTCTGTTGTCCTCTCTGTGCTTTACCTTCATTACAGTAATTTTACTGACCTAGCTCCTGTCCATATAGAGAGGAGATCGTGGAAGAAAAACACCCAACAGCTGTCAAGTCCAGGCTGTTGGAGCTCCCATTCCCAGTTCTAGTCTCCCTTTCCAAGTCTCACTAGAACCTGAAGGTATCTCTATGATCAGAAGAGGTGGCCGGCACGCTCTAGCCAGCACATAAGAAAAAAAAAAAAACTTAAAACATCTGAACATTGTCATTTAATGGTAAAATTAAGTTCAGAATACATTCTGGTTTCAGTTTTTCCATTCTTAAAACGGACAACATGACAAAATCTTAAAATCAATGTATAAGCTCAAGATTTATTTTTTATAGTTCAGGGTAGCTGCAGAACCTCAAAGTCTGATTTCCTGAAACCTACTGGTCTAGGAAGTGCCTATAGTGAATATAGTTACAATATGTCACTTTCTTCACTGGCTATCCTGCGAAAATAAAACCAACCTAAATACTGTGTTTGCAGATGTAGGTGATTCCAGCACAAACCAAACATGTTGCAGTCCTTGAGTAACACTTCTAGAGCACTGAACATTCATGGTGAGTCACAGTATTTTCACCCTTGGCCCATCAGGGGAAGAGTGACCCCACAATGTACAAAAGCTGCACCTCACATTAAGATCTCCTTACCTTACATCTTCTTTCAGCTTTTTATATTCCCTATAGTGAAGCAACCACTTCCATCTTCCATTTCCATTTAGCTTCTCCAGAATTTTAACAATTTCTTTTAGTTGAACTACAGAGTAAGTTTGGTAAGAGAGAAGATGTGTTTTAGGGTTTGTGGCTTATATAGTCAAAGCAATTATTACCCGTAAAAAATAAAACACTATGTTTGAATATATCATCACTGCCACTTAAGTAGCTGGGCAGGAGTACCACATTGCATTCAAAGACTCAGCAAACCATGGTCCCTCAATTCAGTCTTGCCTATTCTTAACATAAGTAGGAGAGATGAGGATAGAAAGAGCAATGAAAGCTCTCTACATTCGTGGAGGAAAAAAAAAGAGGTGGGTCAGTTGGGTGTAGGTATCTAAACAATCTACAGATGTATTTTCCTGTGAAATTTGCTGTTCTAAGAAATTATACACCCATGTTCAAGTAGATAATCAGGAAGAATTTTGGTATCAATTTTTTTTTTGGGTTCCATGAGATGATGACAACAGAAATGGAAAAGAGGGCTGGTTTTAGACAAATAAAACTAACATACAGCTGACTTGCCTTGGTAGGTAGACTAATGAAATGTAAGAAAATTTCTTTTTAAGTTTTATGAGTTGGCATTTAGCTGTATGATGGAGGAAGAAACTTAGAAACAGGTGTAGTGATGATAATCGTTTAGAAGAAGCTAAGAGCAAGTACATTGGGAATGAGAATTACACCCAACTTTGAGTAGTGCTTAGCATAGTAAATGGTAAAAATCATGTACTCGGTAGTTGTTGACAGCCATCATACTGAGTTGATAACTTCTTTATGATGCCATGCTATTTTGGGTCACTGTATGAGAAACTGATCTGACTAGATTTTAAACAAGGAAAATAAAAGACTAACCTAATGTTAAAGTTTCTAATATTTTATCATCTGATACCACAAAACCGCCTGTTTGAAATAGCTCTTGGTAGGTATAATTGAGAACATCTTCAGGATTGTCTACTCCCATAAAGATGACATTGGGAAACTGCTTCAGCTTCAGCAAAGAAGGAATCTGTTAAATATAAGAAGTGCATTACTTTCTGTCAGTGGGTTTCAAGATTCAGAAACAGGTGAAAATATCTTTAGACTTGCAGACTATTAACTCTGCCACATAAAAGAAATACTAACTTAGTTCATCAATGTTCTAAATTTTAAAATTAGTTGATTAAAAGTAGTATACAGTTCTCAAAGGCTGGAGTTAATGGATGAGAAAAATGAAGCTGACTTTTTGGGGACCTGTAAAGTAATGAGGCTGTTGAGAAACTTCATGGACAACTGGTGCTGTATGGTTCAACTACCACCTTCTATCAGGACTGCATACTTATAAGTTAGAACCTCCTAGAATAAGTAACAGTTAAGTTCTACTTTTCCTTTTAAAGCAAGATCTATTAACTTTAGATATCAAAACATGCAGATTTATATCTCAGGTGAGGAAATTGACACCTACAATTTGTCTTCTAAGTAGCTTAGTAATATAATAAAAAATAGCCTACAACGTCCATTATTTTCTCACTTAGTGATAATGCATTTTAAATTCTTCCCTGAATTAACATGTTGAGTCTCATAATTACAAAACATAAAATTCCTGTAACACTTGTCTTTAAAGATATTTCCAAACCTACTTGATGCAAATATGATGATATATCTTCATTTCTGATGATGACTATTAGTGTATCATTCTCTCTCTGAAAAGCTTGACAGAAATGCTGAGGTTCAATTTCTGTATGACCTCCTTTTTTCAGAATGTTCTGAAAGATTACAAAACAGCCATTATAAATGCACAGAATTACTTTTATAGTCTACTAAAAACATCAAGAGTACATCTTTCCTGCTGTTACATCCTAAAACAACATAAAATGGCACTTTATTACTCACCAAATTTCATGTGTAGAATGACGACTCTTGGGTATCAGAACTGAATTGAGGATTTTACTTCAAAGACAATGTATAGTAAACATTTTATGCCCAAATGTATAAAAAGCTGATTTTTATTTAAACATCAGACTAATATACATAGCTTTCAAACCTCTTTGGTAAGGGAACTGCTGGAATGCACAGGTATTTACAAATGCCAATCTAAACATTTCTAAAAACTTTCAAATAATACAGTATCTATGGATTTCTTGGGGTATCATTAATAGGGACCAATTTTGAAAAGGCAACTGGCCCTTGGCAATTATGTAATGTGAATACCTAAATTAATTTGGGCATAGGTTATTCAAATGTGATGGGAATTGTAAAACTTCAAGGTTCACTCCCTTACACAGAACAGCTCTGAGGAGCCTGGAATGGGAGGCTCAGTGCTTAGGTTCATTCCTCTGTAGTTACATGACATTGCTATCTGAAGGATTTGGATGTTTCCATTGCAAACCTCAATGTCCCTAGTTACGCCAAAAGCAGTAATGTCCAACCATCACTTTCTTTGTAAAAATAAGGCCTGACTGGTCTCCCTTGGATCTCAAAATGACTCAAATTTTGTCTATTTCAATTCATCACAAAATTAAGGGCACTATATTTTCAAAGAAATACCTACAGAGATTAAGAATGTGTTAACAGGATCCACTGTGATCTAAATACAAATCACCTTTTACTAATAAACTATTTTAAAAACTCATTTTGTGATTATGTTTGACATTTTATCAAATTCAGAGGAGCTCTGGGTTATTTTGTCATGCACTACACATTTCAGCAAAAAAGGAAATCACAAATCTTTTGCATCATACAAATAAATAGGGTTGTCAGGCCCCTGTGACTGCTTCAGGACTCTTAAGACATACTAGTTTTACCTTTGCACAAATTATACTATTTTCTGCTGTAAATAGTGGCCACATGATCAAACATCATGAACAATAGATTCACTATTGAAACAATACAAACTTAACATTGCTATAATCTCTCCTATGGGGAAATCAGCATCAGTTATGCTTTGTAAGAGTGCGAGAACTAAGATGTTGAACTGTTGTTTTTGAGAAGGAAGCAGAAGAAATCAAGTACTTTTTGTTACTGTTCAGTGTGGTAAAACAGAGACTGATGCTCAGCCAATCCCTGATTCATTTTAGCATGTGTCAGTATAGTATATATAACTAGCCTTTCAACTTTGATTGAAAATCAACTTTGACTGAAAAAAGTTAACTTCTAGGATAGTTTTGGAGGCCAAGATTAAAAAAAAAAAATTACACTCATCAGATGTCACATTCTACAAACATTTTTAGATTTTAATGTTACTTAGTAATTAAATGGATTTATCATGGGACATTTATTATGTGACAGTCTGGATTTACCACAGTTAAGTATCAGAAGTGTTAAACTCTGAACAAATCTGTTTGTTCAGGGTGATGAAGTTGACCTCCTGATGGCTGCAATAGGGCGTTGGCAAATAATGGCAAGTAAGACTGGGACAACCTGGTGGTGCTAGAATGAGATTGGAGGGATGTGCACTGATTTTTGCTTTTTAATCACAGATGGTGTGTGTATGCACAAGTTTCTCCTGTTTCTGTGCTGAGATCACTCTCCAGATGAGAGACCTAATGTTGAGATCATGCTCCCAAATATATTCTCCCCTAAAAAGAATTACATCTCCTTTAAGAAATGACTGAGTTCAAGGCTAGGACAGGAATAATATAAGATCAGCCTGTAACATCAGCTTGTCCAACAAAGGAAGAAACTGTCCAAAGAATTATGAGGACTTTTCAAAAGAACACAGAAGACAGCTTAATAATAAAGGAATCCTACAAGCTGAGTCTGAGGCAATTAAATAAGAACCAGATGGTAACTGAATAAAATGTGGAACATGGGTCCACATTGATATAGCCAACAAATGAATAAATAAATGGTGGAAAGGAAGCTCTTCCCTGTGGCAGAATTCCAAGTAACGTACGTTCAAGAAATGATGGAACTGGAATGTTACCACTTGGGAACCATCAAATTTTAACTGATTCAGGAAAGAACTGGTGAATGCTAAATCTGGTGGATCAAAGTCAGATGAGGCGCCGGATATTAAGAGTCTCAAGTATGCCCCTACTTAACTACAATATGCTTAGCAGTTAACTTTCCAGTGGAGAACCCCCCAGACATCATCTTAACCAAGTGAAAAAATAAATACACTCAAGAATGGGCCTAATCAACATCATGTGAGTCCTGAGCTGGTTCACTGAGAAACACAGGATCACATCTGGGGTGTTCTTACCTAAAATGCCTAAATAATGAGGGAACAACAGATGAAAATAAACTGAAAGAAATTCTACCTGATAACTAGCCTATAGTCTTCAAAATTACCAAGGTCACAAAGGAATGACAGGAGCTATTCCAGGGCGATGGATACGGAAAAAGAGAAGCAAACACAACACGTGATGCTGGGTGGTTGGTGGCCTGTGAGCTGGACAGGAGCTGTGTTTATGTAGCTTCTTGACTTTTAGGTAGCATTGTGCTCACTGTCCTTGTACTTAAGTAACACACACTTCTACTATAAAGAGTAATGAACAGCATCTGCAATATGGTTAAAACAATTCAGATCTGTTAACAGTGGGATAGTCTAGATGAACAATACCATTTCTGCAATCTTCTTGTCAATTAAAAAAATTTTTAAGTCAAAAGGGAAAAGGCTTTCTCCAAAATAGAAATTTTGACATATTAAAATGAAGCCAAAGGTAAACTGAGAGAAGCCTGGTTCCTAACGATTAAAATTTTATCAGAGATACAACACTTAAATTTATTAGTATCATTAAAATTTAAATTTTTTAAAAGTCAAAAGAGGTCCCTCTTAACTAGTCACACTGATGGACACTTACATATTTAATGAAAAAAAAGTAGGCCCTCTCTGGTGGCGCAGCAGGTTAAAGCACAGCACAAAGAAGCTAAAGCCACTTCCGCATGAGTTCAATCCCCGCCTGCCCGGGAGGTGACCACATGGCGCCGCAGACCTCTCCTGACCCGCCCGCTGCCTCCCTCAGCAGTGTACTTCGTCGATCTGGCTGTTCTGCTCCCCACTCTGTCTCTGGTGATTCCTCTCACTGCCCCTGCACCTCTGGCCTGTACCCCAGTTCTGTATGGATAAGTAAAATAAATTTTTTAAAAATAAAAAAAAAGCAACAACCTATTTTAACTTTGGAATATGTTTGTGCTTACACTTGAATTATCAGTATGTCAGCACTGGTAATTTTTTTGTGAAAATCAGTCACACCAATTCTGGAACATCAGATAAATCTTCAAAGGTACTACCATTGGTAGAACCCTATATCATAACATTTAGCATATGAATAAAAATTTGATTGTGAAACTCAGATACCACCAGAATTTCTTTCTGGAACCAAGAATGCTAAATCTATTTTAAAATAAGCTAAAATCAGAACAGCAATCAAAATAACAAACTATAAGAATGTCACTTTACCTTTGTTCTTACAAAGAATGATTCATCCTCTGTCTCAACGAGGTAGAAAAGGAAGGTACTTTTACAAGCCTCTTTCACAACACTTTTTAGCTTGATATGCAAACTGGTACACAAGTCAGTAATCATGTCTTCATAGGAAGCTGACTGTGGGAAAGATGCGCACATCTCCTGAGATGTGGCTCTTCCAGAAGCAACACTTGTCTCTTTATCTTGAAAAATGACTTGGTTGCTGTTCATCATCACTTTATTGAATTCAGCATATTCATTGAGAATAAGTGAAATATCATTCCGGGATTCTTTCAAAGTACTGTTGTATTTCAGTTTGTTGAGGTGGAATGAAACACCATGATTTCTTTCAGAATTTGTAAGGTGATTCGTATAGTGACCACCTCTCCCCTCCCAAAAGGAAGGACCGTCCAAACTGCTGTGTACATGGCCTCTCATGTGTGGACTCTGTGGTCTGGCATCCGAGGGCATGATTGTCACTATCAGGGGACTCCTGCTCCGGGGCACAGGAAGCAGAAGAGGAGACTCGGGTATTTTCGTGAAAGGGAACATTCCAGCAGTGATTTGGAGAGGTGACTCCTTTGGAAAGATGTTAGTAGAAGAGTGCTGAGAATCACCATCCTTTACAATTTGTTTCAGTTTATGTGCAAAACGCAGATACTCCAGATCTAAAGTGTTCTGGGTCAGGTCGTCTGCGACCTGCCAAGTGTTTGTCCAAGAGCTGAGCAGGCCACACTTTGCAGTGAGACTAGGGTGCCTACTCAGGCTGTGTAGGGTCCGAGTGGTGTCCTGGAACTCTTTAGTTATGGTGAAGTTAGCATAAGTCCTGGGGATGCCATGAGGGTCTCGGATCTGAATGTAACGTGGTGCACACTTTTCTTTCTTTAATCCAATGTACCAGCTTCTGGGAGGAATGCTGGTCTCTAACACTGGAACTTGCTTAGAGTAACCCCAACCTTCATGATCACCACTGTTTAAGCACAGGACGGTGTCATAAGCACCTTTTTTGTTGGTGTGACATTGCAAAGTACAAGAATCCTCCATGTCAAATTTGGGATTTCTACAATCACCAAAAGAGTCTTCATCAGAATCTCCCGAAAGTGGTTCATAATGGATGTCAAAATTTGCATTGCTATCCATGTCTCTACCCAGAGCTCGAGTGTCCTCCTTGGCCCTGTGCCCCTCACCTGCCATCTTATTTTCTGTCTGTGTTTTCCAGATTCCATGAACAAGAGGGTCACTGGATTTAGAAGCAAAGGAAACAGAAGGGTCTTCATTGATAATCTTTCCACAGGGGACTGCTGTGTTCTGGTAAAAGCCAGCATACACAGGGGAGAGTCCATCATTCAGTGGATCTTTTATTTCACATGTTGACATAGCTCGCAGCCCATGGACTGTTTTCTGTTCACCTTTTGGAGATAGGGTGTTTAATTCTGAGTCAACAACTACATCTTTAGATCTTTCATGTAACTCAGCTTTAGTTTCACCAATTTTAAGTAAACTGGCCATTCTGACTACTGATATTTCCTGTGTTTGAACCCCTGTCTCTCCACTTATGGGTTTGGTACAATGGGTTAACATAGAACCATCTGAGGAGGAAGTCAGTTTGGAACTCTCTAGGCGCCTGTGTACCTGTGATAGATCAATCCCATCAATTGAGTTGGGGTTTAAGGACATAACATGCATGCAATTGCCTTCATTTGTTTTGAAATCATGGCTCAAGAGATTTTTCTTAACGCTTTTAGGGCTAGTTTGTTGTTGTAATGATATATTCACTACATCATTTGGAGCAGTTACAGAAACAAATGTGTCAGCCAAAGTTGTATTTTCAAGAATGTTTCCAGGTCTAAATGGAAACTCACTGGTTTCTAAGACAAGATGCTTTAAGTTTGAATTTCTATTCTCTACACTAATCGGCTGCAATGGACTTCCTGACCTTACTCGCTTTTCAAAAGAAGGCTTGCAGTCATCTCTGCAACTGGTTGCTGGGGCAGCCCTGTTTGATGCTGTGTCACAGCAGGATGTTTTTTCTGAGAAAGAGAAACTTTCATCACATTCACTTCGAATAATTTTGTCAGTGACTTTACTTGGGAGGGTTAAATGTTTATTTTTTCCTTCTGAATGATTATTTAATACTAGAGGTGTTTCAGCAGAAAGCTGCATCTGTTGTACCTGAGTTATATTTTCTTGTCCCATTGGATGGCTAGGATGAACAGAAAGATTTTCTTTCTCATTTATAGCCAAATCTCCTGACTCAACCTCGAAGTATTTGCCATTTTTCTCACATAGAGACAAAGCCTGAGATGGTCGTATTTCTTCAGCTAGCACCTGGGGGTCAGGACTAGAAGCTGGAGACACTTCTTCAATTAAAGAAGCAAAGGTAAAGTCTGAGGGAATATGAACTTCCTCCATGATCTCAAGAGTACAACTTTCCTTAGGAACTATTAAAGTAACTGGTTGGGAATTATCACTTTTTCCCTCATTTTCCAATGGTTTATTTGACACTGTAGGATACACTGATATATAACTAGCAGAATTCACCTCAATGTTTTCTTTGCACATTGCCTGTTCTGGCTCAATGGTTTCTTTAGTCATATCCTGGAATTCTACATTTGTTAATGGGGCCTCTAGATCTTGTTCTATTTTTCCAGATGACACTACTTCTCTGGGGCTCGTGGGTGGTGATATGGTGAGATTTAGGTCAATGTCAGAATCTTCCTCTGGTAACTCTAAGCTGATCTCTTCATTTGTAGACTGACTAGTTTGCCTGGTAAATGCTGAGTTAAATGATTCAAAATTCAAATTTTCACTACTTAGAGCACTCTTGTCATTCTTTAATTCTGAAGAGACTTCTGACATATTACTACCTGATGAAATGCTGTTAAGAGAGTAATTTTTTCCCAAGGTGGCAGAGGCTGATGATGAGACCGCTTCTTCAACCTGCAATGGCTCTATAATCTCTTCTGAAGATACACCAAAGGCATTCGGGGTCTGCAGCAAAACTTCTTGAGAGAGTTCTGTGTCTTCTCTGGGTAACAAGTAATTAGAACTTTTAATTAATGATAATGCCTCCATTGCCACTGGATTAGATGATGACGATGAGCCTGGAATAGGCTGTAATGAACATTTTTCTTTAGCAAATATCTCTTTACTTAAAGAAGTAGCACAAAGATATTTAGTGCCTTGTTGTCCAGGCACTGCTAGAGATGAAATGTCCTTAAGACCTTTTATTTGTTGTGGCTTTTCAAATGCGGATACAGGATGCTGAAGACTTGCAGCAGGTGATATTTGTTTAGTAAGTTCCATATTAAAGGCTGTAGGTTTCTCAGCTCTATTTATAGCTTCTGCCTCTACCGGTACATAGGCATTTTTTTCAAAAGTGAGAGTAACTGGTTCCAGATTAATCATTACATATCCTGTTTTATCATCCTTCCTTTCCAATGAAGGCTGACAATCTTTGCTCATGGGGTTGCTATGCTGGATAAGCTCCTGTAAAGCACCAGAATTTTTACATACTGTTGAATGAAAAATATCAACTTTGCCTTCAAGCGTGTTGTGCACAGACTTTTGACAAATAACTGAGTGACTGCTGAGGCCATCATAACTTTTGGTGACTGTGGTTTGTGTGACAGTATCATTGTCAGGAGTCACTGTGATGTCATCAAGTGGTTTAAAGGTTTTACCTTCACCAGAGATAGAAGGAATAGAAGCTTCAGTACTTCCAATTTCAGTAAGCACAGGACTGTAAGTCTCTGATTTATTTGATGATTCTTGTTTGGCTTTCCTACCAATTACCTGAAATGACAAAAGTAAAGGAAAAAAAAAAAATCAGGAGTCTTGGAGGCTTCCCTGCTGGCACAAGAGATTAAGTCGCAGTACTGTCAAGCTACCACCATCCACTAAACCATGAGAAGCATGAGTTCCATCCCAGCCAGGGAGTGACCCACATGGTGCAGTGGACCTCTCATGCCTTGCTCGCTGTTCCCCTCAGCAGTGTGTTTCAGTAGATCTGTCTGTTCTGCTCCCTGCTGTCTCTGGTGAATCCTCTTACTCCCTCCACACCTCTGGCCTGCACCCCCGTTCTTGTAGGCATAAATAAAATCTTTTTTTCAAAAAAAAAAAATCCAGTCAATTTGGTTATTTGGTTATTTAGCATTTATATACACAAGTGAAGAACTGATCAATTTTAGTTATTTTGAATCTTCCAATTTATAAGAATATCATAGGATAGAGATCAAGCCACCTCTTTAGACAGGTTTAAAATAACCTCCAAACAGGAGTCTGTTATACACAGATAAGAATTCCAAAACTTTGTTAGCTGCCCAGCCTATTTATTATTTAAAACTGATTTTGAGGAATTACAGTGGTTATACTGCTAACAATCTGAAGACTTGAAAACGCAGCCTGTATGGTAAGTAGCATCTTTTAATTCACAAATGTAGCATCAGAAAAAAAGTACTCAATCTCAATTATGTTTTAAGTAAGAGTGAAAGATAATTTTTAAAGCAAAGAATAACTTACATACCAGTTCTCAGTTACTCTAAACACCTTGAAAAATAATTTTAATAGTCTATTTTAGTTTAAGACTTTGTAAAGCTTTCTAATGTTTATTATCACCACAATGGGTCCTTAAATGATAATCTACATAAAACATAGCAGGTATTATTCACCTCTTTTAGAAGAAAATCAGAGTAATTTACCCCAAATTATACAAGAAGTGACATCATTATAGTTAGTTCCCAGATCATGTGACCACTGTGATTTTGTTGTATTTCTTTCTTAAATCAGGTTGATCAATATGCTGTACCAACAATCTGGAGTAACATCTACGAAAACTAAGCTTTTGGCATTATAATTTATACTTTATATAGCCAGAGAGTTCACTTTCTCAGAAGAAACCAACGTTTAATTCTGAATGTGATTTTACATACAAAAATGTGAACATGTCTTCAAAAACTGTCAGCATTTGTAGTACTCAGCTTCACCTACCTCATTATTACAAGAATAGACGAAATGCTGGCTTTTTTGGGTATCTGGATGTTCCGTTCTTACAAACATTTCTTCCTGTTCATTCTCTACCCAGAGTCCCACGCCTCTTGTCAATGGTCGTTTAATGAGAGGAAGCACAGGGTTAGCTTCAGGGAAGGACACAGCAGTCGTACAAGCTCCACGTGTGACAACAGTCTCCAACAGAGGGTCTGCAGAACACCTTGGCACACTGGCAGATTCCTCAATTTCACTGAATTCAAAAGATTCTAGTGTGCTATTGATAGACACATATTTTGCTGGGTTGCTGTGCTCTACTACTCGTCGGGATGACCTTATAACTTTGTTCTGATTGCTGTAAAACAGAGCTACCCACATATGAAGTAAAAGCTTCACTTCTTCCACATTATCAGGTAAATCAGTGTTCCAGGGCCTGAGATTTTAAAGAAATAATACCCAAAAATCATTGAGAAACAGTTATTTTAGTTGACTATCTTATCATAAATGCCCTTATTATTGACTTTAGTTTTTGTGTTATTTTAAAAGTTATACAAACAAGAAACAATAATGATGAAGCTGATTTAATAAGAGAATTTATGATGAATCCCTTCATTATAAAGACAAGAGAAGGGGACTGAAAATTAGAGCTCTTAAGTGGTAGAATCATAACTACCACATAAGGTTCCTGACTCTTGGGCTAGCATTATTCTTTTCTACCACACTGTCTCTGAACACAATACACCTATCGTGGGAATAATGGTTTCCTTGCTTCTGGCTAACTGATTTCTAGTTTTGTGTCTTGTAACAGTTGGGACAGTCTGAACATTAAAATCTCTGCAGAACTTAGTAGAATTATACTATTTACGGTAACAGTTCTGGAAAATTTGAAGCCATAAAGAGAGATACCATTTCTGGTCATCTGCCAGGCAAAAGGTTAGCAGGGAGCTATACTGGAATGAGTCAAAGAAGCTCAGAGCAAGGACTCAACGCCAGGGAAATGAGAAAAATGGGAGTTTAAATGCATGTGTTTATGAGCATAAACTTATGAATGGATCAAAGAAGTCTAATAGTTTAGGGACTTAGATGTTGAATATATACTTGAATGTCATTTCATAGAGCTATTTCTGTTTCCTAGTAGGTTACTATTTATTAGTATGTGCCACTTGCCAGGCAAAATCCTTATTTACCTTGCAACTTCATAATGTACCTATTACTAAACCCACACTTCAAAGTGTTGCCTATACACTGTCAACATCCACTGACATCCCCTGCAATTGTGTTAGATATGTAAACTCTCAGGTCCCACCCCAAACAGAGTCAGAATGTGCATTTCAGTGAGACCCCTACTGGACTCATGCCCACTGTTAAGATGAAGCAGCACAGAACTATTAGGTCACAGACTATTAATTGAGAGAGAATGGATTTAAATTTACTCAAATCCACACTCCAAACTCATGTGTTCAACTGCTCTATTGCTACACTGACCCATTCTTAAGGAAGATTTATAAAACAACCCTATGAAAAAGTACTCATTCAGCAATCCGGTGAACTTAACTAGCTGGATGTATTTCTCTAAATGTTTCTCTGGAATTCTATCTCTAAAACACTATTTCCAGGGCTCTCCCTTGTGGCACAATGGGTTAAAACACTGCATTATGAAGCTCTCCGAAGCCACTGCAGCTTGAGTTCGATCCCTGGCCAGGTAGCTGATCTGCATGACGTGGCAGACCTCTTCTGGCCCACCTGCTTCTACCCTCAGCCCTGTACTTTGTCAGTCTGCCTGTTCTGTTCCCCACTGTCTCTGGTGAATCCTCTCACCCACCACACCTCTGGCCTGTACCCTAGTTCTGTAAGCATTTAAATATTATAACTCAAACTACAAAAGCTTATAAAAGAGCTCTGCAAAAATGGAAAGTTTTCTTTTACATAAGTAAGTTATCTTGCAGAAATTTTCCATGTGATCACCAACAGAGGAAAGCTAGCCTGATATTCTTATCGGTATACACAACACCTTGACATTACTACATTATTGATGTCCAACATTTCTTCCTCCTTGCCCAAAGTTTGGTACAAATACATCGCTTCACTACTACCTCTATCGCAATAGAAATTTCATCCACTTCCATCAAGTGTCACTCATACTTACCCATGTAATGCTCTTATTACAGTTTTCTCCAATGGGTTGTTGGTATATTTGCTATCTAAGCTGAATACATATTCTGTTTCACATTTGAAAGTGACCTTAAAGGAGCCATCACAGCTAAGCACAGTATGTGAGCAACAAAAATCTTTTAGGTTGGAAGACAGCAATCTACTCTTGCGTTTTAGCAATGGGCCCTCAGAATGCTTTTGCAGAGGGGAGGTGCTCTGCTGATGCCGAAATGGCATTACTTTTCCCACTGGGGTTCCTGCTTCAGGGCCTTTTGTGGTGTTCTTGGCAAAAGTAGAGCCTGGTGCCCCTTTCTGCTGTAGTTGTTTCTTTGAATTTTCTGCAAGGAGCAGAGCATAGGAATGTTCCACAGCAACAAAAGAGTTTAGGCTTGTAACAGAAGTTTCTAGTGTTTCCACAGAAAGTGCAGACTGGGCATTAATTGGAACTGGGTTGCCAGAAACCACTCTCTCCTCCTCGTGGCTCGCAGTGGAGTTTGACATCAAATCACAGTTCTTATCAGAAGAGACTTTAGGTAAAAGTCTACCTTTTTGACTTTTAATTCCTCTGTGATATTCATGGTCAGATGTACCTCGTGAAGAATGTTCCTTAGAAAGCAAAGCATCATTTTGTGGTAATTCAGAGGTTTTGGGTTCAGATGATGGTGCGGTAGAGGGAGCAGAGCTCAATGCCAGATCAGCTAACATGTTCAAGGCCTGAGAGTCACAGTTGACAACGGAGCTTTCAGGAAGATCTTTTTGAGTGTCTGTGGTATTTTTTGGTTGATCTGTATTTATGCTACTAACATCTGCTTGACCGCTGGATGAAACTTCTGATTGAAGTTGTGAAGCAGTTTCTCCTTTGGCTTCAGTATATATATAAAAAACAAAAAACAAATAAACAAACAAAAAAAACACATACACACACATTTGACTTCATAGAGTTCTTTGCCATATCATGACTTAGTGAAAATCAATGGTTAAGTCAAATACTTTTTTTTATTACAAAAGTTTATTTTTACATCATTTTGTACTTTTTTTTTTTCCATCTCGATTGTGATCCCTGCGGGGTTTCCCATCACCATATCACCCGTGTGCCATCACCATAATCCTGTGCATTTCTCTCCCCTCCCCCGTTTTTGATAAGTCAAATACTTTTAAGAAAAACCTCTTGATATACTACATAGGTTTTATATTAAGAGACCGAAGTCTCTCCAAGTCTCAAATCTATTACAATGTATTTATCAGAGAAGCAAGTCTTAAGGAATATATGTGCACTTTAATTTAAAAAGGAATCACCCTTCAAAAATGTTGTACTACACTTAAGACAAATTGCTGACTTACAGATAGGTACAAAGAAAAAAAAGAAAGAAAACACGAGTACTGCCCTCAAGAGCTTACAGTGTAGTGAGACTAAGAATTCCTAAATCAAATATGTAAGAGAAATCGCCTAAAAGACTTTTAACCATATTTAAATTTGATATGAATAAAAAATTAGAGGTCATAAAAGCAATCAATTCATTACCTTTTAAAATTTCACTTTCTGCACTAAAAACATTTCTATCTGCAAAAACAGCAAATTTTTATGTCTACTGATAATTCTTCTTTCTTCAGATAAAATTTATCACTTGCCTTTAATCAGCCAATTGACATTTCAAGTGATTTACTTAGCATTCACAGGCCATGAATTCAGCCTTCTTTTTTTTTTTTTTTTTTGAATTCAGCCGTCTTAAATGCAGTTACTATAAAAGATGAAGTTCACAACAATACTTGACAATGACTCCCTGTAGCAGGTTAACAGATAGAATAGGCAAAGGTGCTCCTTATGTTAAATAGTAGCATATCTGAAGTGAATTATTAACCTTCCTGCAAAGGCCAATGACAGGTTTTTAAGGCGAAAAAGAAACTCAACCTATGAGTTTCGTAGTATGAGAAGGGTGTGTGTATGGGAGGGAGGGTAAAATTAATCGTTCAACCATTGGCCAGTTGAAATAAACTCACGCAACTCAGGGGAAGAGCATGACCCAAAGGAGAACATCATCCTATTAGTCCCATGTATATGAACATGCTACATTTTAGGGTCTGATATGTTTACTAATCTCACTCTTTGTTAACATTAAGATTTCTACATTTTTGTTTCTTACAAAAAATGTCACTTATTAGTAAGGTCTAATATAAATACTATGTCAAAGAACAAAGGTTTATTTTAATATGTGTAGTCTCATCAAGTAAATCTTTTAACTACTTAGCTGACTTGTTAGAGGCTTTCAACTAAAAATTGAAATTGAAAAACTGATTAAATTAAAAATAAATTTCAGGTAATCTCTATTTTAAAATATATAGACAAGAACAATGTCAAATTGGCTCAATAAAAAATATAAAGTATTCAGTAAATAAAAACCATTACTGAAAACCTTAAAAAGGACAGAAAAAGATTAGTTTCAGTAATGAAATGATTGTTCTTTCTAAAGCTGATGACTGATTCAAGGGTGAGAAACAGAAAAGATTTGCACAGGCAATTAAAGAAATGGAAGAAAAATAAAATATCATTTAAAAGGTGGTAATCTTAACTTTTTAAGCCGGCAATGTGGCTGCACAATATATTCAGGCATTTACAACAGAAAGAAGTCTATTTTTGAGTATGTATTTTGTAAACTCATTTTCTGAGTTCACTTTTCTGCCAGTAACCAATTGTATACCTCCTCCCATTAATAAAGTCAGTCAAGAAATCTGACAGTTAATTCAGTATAAGAATTCAAAGGACACAGCTAAAAATAGAAGGCAATATGTGTTTATTGATGTTCATGCTTACAAATGAGTTAGAACGGACAGGATCAAGACAATAAATGATTAGAAAATCTTATGAATTCTAGAATGTCCTCAGAGATTCAAAAGGAAAATAAAGGATAAGAAGAGATCAGTGAAGATCAGAACATCAGAAAATGCCTAACTGGAGGCAGGATGTGGATGGGTAGGGGAGCATGCGCTCAAGTAATGCATGTGAGGCATGGGCTACACGTTAGCATGCAGCAGGGAATGTACATGTTAGAAAAGAGCAGAAGAGAAACAGGGACATGTGGGGTCAAGATCACATCATGAATTATCTAGACAGACAATTGAAGAGTTTATATTTGGTGAGGACACAAAAACCACACCGCGGGTTTTGGAATGACATGATGAGCTTTCTAAAAGTAGTTACAAAACAGTATTAAAGAAACTAACAAAGAAAAGTAAGTTCATCCATAATGCCTTCACCCCCACCTAACAATAGTTTCTTTCTCTGACTTTGATTAAACATGAGATTTTAAAAAGAGCTAAAGCAAAAACAAAACAAAAAACTCTGATTTCTCTTCAGATCTCATAAAAAGAGCTAAAAAAAAAATCAACAAAAAAGTAAATTTTTTGCCTTGTTTTAAAACATAACAAAACACAACACAATACTGCAGATAGAGTACAATTTACAGATTTTGTAGATTGGAAGAATTGAACTATGTATGGAGAGAAGAATGTTAAGAAGGGGTGAGGACCCAGAGAAGAGCTAGTATGTTCATTTCATGAAGAAGTCTACAGTGACAAAGGACCTTCAGGTCAAGAAGCTAAGACTAGCAGTTGGAAATAGAGAACTAGAACTGTCAGTTTTATTCATATAACTAAACTTTATTATTCACTTCAGCAAAATCAAAATTTTAAGACTGCTTTTAAAATTAATTTAGTGGCTTTTAAAGCTAAATAGATTCTGGATTAGTGTTTCAAACAATGTGTTTACAAGTCCCTTTGGACATACAAACTTACAAGTTTCTGCATTTTGTAACAATTATGGTCTATGACAATACTGCCAGATACTATTTGCTTCTGCAGTCATTAGAAAAGCCACAATACCTTTATACAGTTCATATTCACGTTTGATTGCAAACTTAAAAGTAGGGTGTATTTGGCCCTCCCTGGTGGCGCAGCGGGTTAAAGCACAGCACTGAGAAGCTAAAAGCCACTTCCGCATGAGTTCGACTCCCGCCTACCCCGGAGGTGACCATGGCGTGGCAGACCTCTCCTGACCCGCCCGCTGCTCCCCCTCAGCAGTGTACTTCGTCCATCTGCCTGTTCTGCTCCCCACTCTGTCTCTGGTGAAGCCTTTCACCGCCCCTGAGCCTCTGGCCTGTACCCCAGTTCTGTATGCACAAATAAATAAATCTTTTTAAAAAAAAAAAAAGTAGGGTGTATTTTGTGAAGGAATGAATCTTGACACTTGCCTAATTTATTTAAATAGGAAACCAAGTCAGTCTCTTTCGTGACTGAACTAAAGAATATAGCAAGAATTATTGGTAAATTTCATTTGCTCTTATTTCAATACACTATTCTGCAATCTCAAGTAGATCTGTATGGTGGTACTGAAATTTACAGAAAGAGTATTTCTTACCAGGTTCTGGCTGCTTTCTGATTCTGGGGTTCTGATTGTCTTTCTCTATATTTACTCTCTGTTTTTGTGGAGATTTCTTCACAGATGGTTTAGCCCTTGGAACAGTTTTGACTGGAGATTTTTCTTGTTTCTTTGCCCATTTAGCATTCGTTGCCACTGGGACATCTTTAGAAATAGGAGCATCTTGGTTTTTCCTATCCAATATGGTTGTGTGTACAAACTGAGCAGTCAGCACTTCAGCACCTTATATAGAAAAGACACCATTTTTTAAGGGGTAGGGGACTCATATATTTATCACCATAGTTTTTCTTTTTTGGTTTGTTTTCAGGGAGTATCTCTGATAATGTGGAATAAAATGTAGAACTTCAGGTACTTCATTAAAAGATTTTATAACAAAGCAAGAGTTAAAAGTTCTCATATAGGCCCTCCCTGGTAGCGCAGCGGGTTAAAGCACAGCACTGAGAAGCTAAAGCCACTTGCGCATGAGTTCGATTCCCACCTGCCCCGGAGGTGACCACATGGCGCGGCAGACCTCTCCTGACCCGCCTGCTGCTCCCCTCAGCAGTGTACTTCATCCATCTGCCTGTTCTGCTCCCCGCTCTGTCTCTGGTGAAACCTCTCGCCACCCCTGAGCCTCTGGCCTGTACCCCAGTTCTGTATGTACAAATAAATAAATCTTTAAAAAAAAAAGTTCTCATATAAATATAAAAATACCAATTTGCTAAGTGTCAGTCATTTATCAAGTGAAAAGTAACTGATTACTTTTTAAAAAAAGGCATGATTTAACAAAAAATGTATCTCTACCATCTTTCCTGTGATCTATGTGGCAGCTAAGGCTGAGTATACTAATTCATAACACTGGGAAAGGACTAACTCAATTTACACAAAAGAAATACTACTCCCATAAGGTAATAGGGTTAGTCACACTATAGAGAAGAGATTCTATATTCACAAAGAACTATCTTATATCTTTCACTTAATTCCTAAGAAGTTTAAGTCCTACTGTCACCAGAAAAATGACCTTTTAAGAGAATTACAAGGGAAGGTACATTGAAGAAAGTCTTCACCAGATTTAATTTCCTACATATCTATTATAATTGTTCATTTCTCTTACAAATGCTCAGTTAAAAGCAGAAGCAAAGAGAGGGAATAGTTAAAGGCAAAGGCCAAGTGGGATAAAACTAGGATCTATCAGGTTACTAACATAACAGAAAGTGTTTCAATCTTTTAAAACTTAAAAAAAAATTAACTATTCTCCTCGTAACTTCACATAGCTTTAGCTGTTCCCATAAAAAAAATTTAGCCCCACAGATATCACAGAAAATAATCACATATATGAATAGCTGCAAATATTTAAAATCACATTTTACAGAAAACATTTCTTTTTTTTTTTTTTTAAGATTTATTTATTCATACAGAACTGGGGTACAGGCCAGAGATGCGGAGGGTGAGAGGATTCACCAGGGACAGAGTGGGGAGCAGAACAGGCAGATCTACAAAGTACACTGCTGAGGGGAGCAGTGGGCGGGTCAGGAGAGGTCTGCCACGCCATGTGGATCTCCTCCGGGGCAGGCAGGGATCGAACTCATGCGGAAGTGGCTTAAGCTTCTTAGTGCAGTGCTTTAACCCGCTGCGCCACCAGGGAGGGCCCTACAGAAAACATTTCTAACTGAGAACAGGAAACTTAATACTTAACAACTTAAGAAACTGTGATGACTACTAATGAAATGTAGGGGAGGTTGGAGAATAGTAGTTTAGAAAAAAGCTTTTAGAGTCCATTAATGATCTATATTTCTCTGAGACTATTTTCCTCCATGCTAAACTATAGGTAATAAAGCAGCATACTGATTTTTAATTTTAAGTCTTTCACTACATTCACATTTTCTATAGTTTTTAGTATAAAGAACATTTAAATCAAGCAGGAAACCAGAAGACTAAATTAAGAGGGTAAAGATGAGATGATCAAGACCTAGGGCAAGTTTCTACCATCTCCACAGGCAGGAAGGTACATTTCTCACAACCTAGGTCATGAGAGGCAAGAACACGATGCATAAGATGAGCCTGGAAGGGAGTGTTCTGTTCAATGCTTAAGTTGAATTATAATTTACGCAACACATTAAAGTAAACTGGTATGTATAGAGCAAAAACTCAATATGGTTGATTTGGAATTTGTAAAAAATTAATCTGATTTACTGCTTTATATTGCTGAATGTTCCACCATCCTCCTGATACACATGTACACACACATCACTTCTCACACTACAATAGGCCAATAATATCTATTTGTTAAACCATATGGTCAAACCTTAACTATCTGGAATCCTGAGGATTTGCATATACTTGTTATTTCCTCTTTGGGTACTAAAATTTCCAAGTTCCAAATGCATGATTGGCAAAACTGTTCAAATAGTCTCTGTTACAACTTTTCAACTTGGCCAGTTGAGGGTCTAAGTTGCCAGAAACAGGTAAATGATAGGTCTTTGGCTGCCATTTGTTTATGGGGAACTTTCAGCATGTAGTTCCTATTTTCAAGCAAAGAAACCTAAATGTAATTTGCAGTGACTCTAAGCTAACTCATGTTTCTTTTGCACTTCGCCAAAGTAGTATTATATGACTAGACACCAAATGGTTCTAGACAGTAATTCTCATTCAACTTTTAGGGGCATCAAAACCACCTGTACTCCTGTTTCTATATATATATCTCAGGCCAAAGTACAATGTTTTGATATGTCTGTATCAAGACCCAGATGACTAGGTTTTACATCTGGAGATATGGAAATACCAGGCATTTCCTCCACCTTCTGTATATGCTCAGGCAAGCAATCATTGCTCTTTGCTGTTAGCAGTGTGCCTGGTTTTAGAAGACCTCCCCCATTTTCATTTGTCAAGGAGGGTTTAGAAACTGGAGAGGTTAGATAGCCATCTTTCTGGGAAAAATACAGAAATAACTGGAGTGGCAGGTTTGAGCAGTCTTACAAGTGAAAGTAAGTGAACGGGTTTTTGAGATATTTTACAGTTGTTCATCTGTCACCTGCATTAGTGCTTCTCAAACTTGGAGCATGCGGACAAATCATCTGTTATTTCTAATAAACTTCTACCAAGCTACAATCCACACTGATCCAGAGAGGTACAATGTTAGAATATAAAAGTCATTACAAATGTTCATTTAATAATCCACGTAAGTCATGCTTACCTCTTTTTCTTTTCTGAGGAAACTGCCCTTTGACTAATTTCAAAGTTGTTGGATAGTCTGAACCCTTGTCTGTTCCAGCAGGAGCTCTTTTGGGAAGGGGGAGGTTTACATTCACCGTTTTATTCTGCTCCATGGACAGTGTGCTTGCCTTTCTCTTAGGCTGAACTCGGAGATTTGATGCTGAACTTACTGGAACTAGCATGCCTTGCCTTGCTTTAAATGTCTCTGCAGAGTTGTTTTCTGTTTCGGCTTCTTTTCTGACTTCTGCCTCTGAGTCAAGAAATTCAGGATCTGGAGTCATAACTAAAGAAAACCCAGCATCACAAATTCCATCTGAAATACAAGGAGACTGAGGATGCTCTGCCAACAGATCTAATGCAGTAGATACTTCCAAAATGTAACCACTAGGATCTGAAAGATATGACTGCAACTGAGTTAAAGACTCTAAAGGGCACTTTTCAGCTGGAGGAACCAAGTCAAAGCCATGGGACAGTCTGTCAAAAAATGCAGTCTCTTTAATTCCATCCTTACAAGAAGCAGTCAATGAACCTTTGTCTGCCTTGTGCAATTCTTGGAAATTATGTCTTATTAATGTGTTTAAACAGATTCCTTCTTCAGTAAATGATTTCTTTGCTTCCAGCAGGGCACAATTGAGGGCAGGTAAAATGGGTACCACCTTCAATGAGATATCATCTTCAACTTGCAAGGCTTTCATTCCTAAAAAATACATACATAGGTGAAAAACCTGAGATTTTTGTAATTTTATAAAACTGCTTTAGATTACAAAATTATGGGATGGTTAAATATGGTAAAACGTAACATGATAGAATGTTTCAAATGATAACATGAATGGCAATTATACAAGACTTGTGGTTACAAATAATATATATATATATATTCATTTTTTGAAATTTCTCTCTCTCGCACATGAAAAAGAATTATTCAAATATAATTACTAAGTTAGGGTGGAAGACTTGATTCCTGACCCTCAGGTGACCAGGAACCCAGTGTGAATTCAGTACGCTATCACACCAAAGTGTGACAGAAAGGCTTTTAGAGCTGGCAGATCTACTTTCTATTTAATAATACAGGTTTTACAATATTGCTCATTTATCTGTACTTAGTATAAATTACTTTAAATTCTTTTTAGACGCTACAATGCACATTAACTAAACTGAAAAAAAAAAAATTTCTAATTAACCCCAAGTCTCATAGTGAAGTAGTAGTGTTAAATTCATCACCTTCTTCACCAAATGGGCTAAAAAACATTTTTTAAAAAAGATTTATTTATTTATGCATCCAGAACTGGGGTACAGGCCAGAGGTGCAGGAGCAGAGAGAGGATTCCCCAGACACAGAGCGGGAAGCAGAACAGGCCCACTGACGAAGTACACTGCTGAGAGGAGCAGTGGAGAAGAAGGAGAGGTCTGCCGCGCCATGTGGGTCGCCTCTGGGGCCAGGGATGGAGCTCTCACTGAAGCGGCTGAGGCCAGCTTGCAGTGCTGAGCTCCAATTTGCTGTACCACGAAGGAGGGCCCTAAAAATATTTTTAATTAAGTAACTAAACTGACTTGTCTATATTTTTCTTTCTCTTCCTGAAAAGTTAATTTTTTAGTAAATCAATAACCAAAAGGAAAACAGGATTGAAAAAAAAAAAAGAGAGAAAAGGGCAGGTTACTGAGAATGAGGGGTAAAGTCCTAAAAATTCTAAGCCCCATTAACAACAAAATTCATACATATGCAGGTCTAGATAGCCTCCTTTAAAAAAAATTTAAAATATATTCATTACATTATCCTTCATTTTTGCACACTGTATGGTTTCCCCGTGAAATTCCCACCACCAATTCACCCATGCCTCATCACCTGAGTCCCTTGTACCCTTCCCACTCCTGTCCTGATACTTCTCCCACCTTCTCCCCTACAGAATGTATCTGATTAAAAGTGCCTGATGATTTTGATTTTTACTTTATTGTAGTTACTTTTTTTCCTGATTCCTTTTTTGTTTTCTCTACATTCCTCCTATAAATGAGACCAATATTTTTCTTTTTCTTCCTGGCTTATTTCACTGAGCATAATACCTTCCAGCTCCATGTAGCCTCTTAAACAGAACTGTGATATTACTTTCTTTTTAAAGAAAAACTAACAGCAGGTTGAAAAAACATCAAATTATTCCTTACTAAAATATTTGCACTCAAACAGGCATTAAAAAAGGAAAAAAAGGGCCCTCCCTGGTAGCACAAGGGATTAAAATACAGCACTACAAAGCTATCAGCAACCACTGTACCATGAGTTTGGTCTCTGGTCAGGGAAGCGACCCACATGTACAGCAGATCTCTCCTGTCCCACCCACTGCTCCCCTCAGCAGTGTATTTTGGTCAATTTGCCTATTTGTTCCCTACACTGTCTCTGGTGAATCCTCTCACCCTCTGCATCTCTGGAAGGAGTAAATGCAAATATTTAAATATGTTGATATACTTGAAGACTCCTCATTGATGGAAGAATGGTGACAGGAATCAATGAAATCATATTTAAAGTGAAACTTGGTAGATATATGTAAGAATTTTAACTTACATGGGTATTCATTACACACCCAAGAGCATTTTTAAAGAATTTCCCCCAATTGCCCTCTGAAATTTTAGTATCACAGATATACTATACATCTGCTTATATAATATATGAGTAACATACTTTTGCGAGAGTGAATTTTTGGTCCTGGGAGGTCAACTCCACAAGAACAAATCCAAACAGAGGGACCTCTACCTGTGAAAGCTGTAAGACCCACTTACTTGTTAGACTATGCATTTCCTAGAGATTTGCTCAATAACAAATGAATTCAGTTTTGGACATGCTGAGTAAGGAATATCTGAGCCCCATCTATGTTGAAATGTCAACAGACAGGTGGATATCTGGGTGTGAAGCTCAAAGGAAGGCTAAAACCGTAAAGGTGATGAACCACCATAAGGTTAAAGGAAAAGAATTACTGAAGAGAAGAAAATAGGCAGCAGGGTCATGTGCTGCTGCACAGTTTAAGATGAGGACTGAAAAGAGCCAAGAGAGCTCATGAACTCTAAGTCACTATGCCCTTACCTGTTGACAGGGATGAACGGAATAGATGTAACCCATGTAGACCCATCTGTTCATCTTCATTACCTATACAAAATGATAATAAGAAAGTTAGGTTGTTGACCTTTTAAAATAAAAGTAAGCAAACAATTTTTTTTTTCAAAAAAAGTTGTCCTTACTTGTTTCTGATATTAAGGCTGATGATGTAAGTAAGATGAAAAATCCCCGATCTTCTAAGCATTTGATGATTGCCTTAAACATTAAGAAAATAAATATACATCAACAAAAATTCAACTCTTCTCTTTCCTTTTCCCTCTACCACATTCTTCTTCAGTGAATTTTGAACTCAAGGAAAGTATAACAACAAAAACAAAAACTTGAAATGTTAGTGCTTTTGGGAATCAGAAGAGTATCAGGACCTGAAAGATCTGTGGCCTGTTACGGCAGCATATTAACTAGAACATCAAGGGTTAATTTTTGGTTAGTATTCAATTATATAATAAAGCAATCAGAAAAGAAATTTTGTTTTTTCATTGAGATACATGCTATTTCTTGCTGCTTCTTATGTAGCCAGTCTGTTAACATTTAGCCAGCACAAAATCAAAGTGAGTCAGACAATGACCTGCATCTTATAGAAAATATAATCACAGAATCCTGGAACTAGAAAGACTGGAAAACATCATCCAATAAAAGAATCTTTTCTACAATACCCCTAAAGACAAGGAATAATAGAAAACAAGACAGTCAGGCACTGTGGCAACAAAAAGTGTAGACGAAAAGCAATTCTTCCTTTTCTTCTATCAGTCTTCAGTGAAATCTTGAGCACACACAAAAAAAATTATCTTGAAATTCTAGTGCTCACCTTAAGGTGAAATAAAATCTATTATTTTAAATCATAAAAGTAACAGTTCTTTTCCACTGTTCACCATCCCAAGAACCTGCGCATCCATAAGATAAAATTCAATACTCATAAACTAAACAAAATACACTTTCATGGAATAAAGGAATAAAATGTATTATTTGAAGAACTGACAGGACATAAAAATAGGACCATATTTACCTACAAATATGGTAAATTGATCAATTATTCAGTAACAATGAAAGCACAAAAGAAAACCTTACAATTACATTAGAACTTAGGACACAGAGACTTCACTCACAAAGAACAATCATTTTTGTGAATCTCCACACATTTCTATTATAGTCCTATGCAACTCATCTCATAGTTTACCTTTTTGTCTCTGTCAGTTTTACAGTTCCTAGATGATAGGGACTATTTACTTTGTATCTTTGCTTCTGGCAGAGTAAGCACTCAAAAAAATTGCTGAATAAACATACCCATAGTTATATAGTTATATATACCTACATATATATATATATGTTGGTATGTTTTAATTTACAAATATATGTAATTTTCATTTACTTTTCTATTAATGTAAAAAGGGAAAGTAACATATTGTACCTACACTAGACTGCATTTTAATTTTGTAGTATCGATGAAAAGTAAAATTCTCTTAAAACTGTATACATTTCTAGCTTCTAAAAAAAATGAGCAAATAGAACAATATGTAATATATGTTTTAATAGCCTCTCAAACTATTTACCAATGGGTTCCATTTCTCCTTCAGTCTTTTTAGGGGAGAAATCACATAATCTTTTAATACTACTTTTAGTTTCTTTCATATACGCAGAAAAATAGTCATAGTCATCCTTAAAACTTTTTACTGTTCTTGATGTTCAGTATCCTAGACACAAACCCAAATAGTATTTTACTCCAGGGACATTTCTTACTTGTCTACTATATGCCAGGTGTTAAGGGGTCAAAGATGTTTAACACATAATACCAATGAATTTAATGTCTAGCTGGGGAGACTGAAACATACAATACTCATAATACATACAATACTCATAATATAATGAGGTAAGAAGCATGCAGTACTGAGGTAGAAGGACCCTATGTGATCTGATTTTTAAAGTAATTGTTATTATTAATAAGTAGGTTTCGAAGCAAAGTCCTGTGTACTATCTCTAACTTTCAACACTATAAGCAAAAGAAGTTTGATTTTGAAAATAGCTTTGGACTGATTTTCTTTTCATTTTGAATGATAAAATGGACCACGCTACTAACAAAAACAGACTACTACCCTATAGAAGATACTCAGAGTTTCTCCACTCCATACCCAATCTCTAATCCAGGCCATACTTCCTTAATTACAGAGCTAAGTCTTCTGCTCTGGAGTACCACTGAAGATTGGGGAACCGACCTTGGATCCAGTTCTTGAAGGCAGGCTCTGAATGGCCTGGGTTAATCAGTGCAGTCCACTCCCTTTTCAGTTACTGTTGAGAGATATGCAGATGACACACAATGGTCTAATGAGACTGCAGTCACGGTTTGGGTAAGGGGCATCTCTCTCCTCTAGATGTGAAAAAAAGCATGTAGCCCTGACTGGCAGCCTCAAGACAAAAATATCGCATAGAAACGGGTGAGGTAAAAAGAAAGAATCCTGAACAAACAGTACATGAAAAGCAAGCCTATTTAGTCCCTTCCTTTTTTAAGCTGATTTAGGTTACAAACAACTCAAAGCACCTTAATCACATTTCAATATAAATACATGCTCTATTATTACTTGATTTCTTGCTATCTACTATGGGGATTGCTCATCAAATCACTGAATTTGCCCCTTCTTGTTGGTAACTATTCCACACTTGCACCATTTTCCTTTGGGAAGTTTAAGAACCACTCACTATAAAGTTAGCATTTACTCACAATGATTACCTATGATTAACAAAACAGTTGTTGGATTATTATATATTTCACAGAATACTTTTTCAACACTATGGAAGATATTGTAGAAGCAGCAAGCTTTTTCTTCCTTATAAACCTATGGATTGATACGGATCATTTTTTATTTATTTATTTTTTAAGATTTATTTATTTATGCATGCAAGAATGGGGGTACAGGCTAGAGGTGTGGGAGATGAGAGGATTCACCATAGAGAGTTTGAGAAACAGAACAGGCAGATTGCTGAGGGGAGCAAGCCGGTGAGATAGGAGAGGTCTGCTGCTTCATGTGGTTCAGTTCCCTGGCCTGGGATCAACTCTTGCTGCAGCTGCTACTTTACTCCTTGTGCCACCAGGGAAGTCCTATAAAGATCATTTTAAAAGCTGTAGCTTACAGGGGACTCCCTGGTGGTGCAAGGGATTAAAGTACTAGTGCTATCAAGCTATCGCAAGAGAACTAACCCATAGTGTAGCAGACCTCTCCAATATCACTCCCCTCAGAAGTATACTTTGTCAATCTACCTGTTCTGCTCCCTGCTGTCTCTGGTGAATCCTCTCACCTTCCTACACCTCTGGCAACACCCCAGTTTTTGTATGCATAAAGAAATAAAAATAAATCTTTAAAATATAATAAATAAAAAATAAAGCTATAGCTTACAAGTTGTCCTATGATTAAGGAAACACTAGGAATCTATTTAATCTGTCATAAAACAAAACCACAAAAGACTTGAGAAAACTGTCCTGCTATTATTACAATGGAGAGGATATATTAACTCATTTATAAACTGTCAAATTTTACTAGAAACAAAGCATATTAGGATAAAAATGTTAGTCAACAAATATGCCAATAATATGCCAATAAATATTAAATCATGAAAGTCCTTTAAGCAAGCTAAAATAATTCAGTCTAAGCACAGTCACTGAATGAGACATCAATTTCTGTATGGAAAAATATATACTTTAAATTGAGGAGTCTTACCAGTTGCTTATTTTTCATGTATTCTGTTAGTTGATCTACCTTTTCCCCTTGTTTGTTTGATAGTTCTACTTTATACATACTGAAGCACATATTTTGGCTAAAGACTGTAGAGAAAATCAGAAAAACATGTCTTATTTTAAATGCTATTATACTTTTATATAACAAACTTAATTTTATGTTGCAAAATATTTTAAAAATCCAGAATATTATTAAAAAAGCATTTATCATTCAATGTTCTTATAAAAACTTAATAAGTTATGGTATAATGTATTTGAAACAGTGCTTTCACATACTAATACCATTATAAGATTAATAAAACAGATACTATATAAATAATAAAGACATTGGTGTCCCATGAATTAATCTAAATGACCAAGAAATTCCCTTTTCATATTCTGTTTTCCTCCACTAAAAAACCACCAAAAAACTGTTCACATTGAAAGGAATGGTTATCGTCCCCAACTATTTGAAAAGGATACCTAATTGAATCCATTCAGTGTTCTGTAATAAAGCTAGTCTTTGCTACCTTAGATGAAAAGACTTTACACAATTTCTAGTTGGCCTTCCCTTGATAAGTAGTGCATTATTATGTTTGAACAGACCTTTTTGCTCCAAGTAATTCTGTTTTTTAAAGGCAGCTTCTGGTAGTCTTTCCTTCAAAGATGACACTTTCATTACATACTTAAAATCTAGTTCATGTGGTCTAAAAAAAAAATTAAAACAATAATCTTAATGTAATAAACAGTGAAACTATAATTTCATAATTTTGGCTCTCTAATAAAAATGCAAGCTAAAATATCATACACAGTAAAAAGTCCTTAAAATTTACAAGACTCCAGGTCAAGTAATGTGTATTATTTATGATTAGAGGTTTTCAAATATTTAAGCCATAGACCATGATCTGCAGTTATGCTCATATTTTCTGAATGAATGTTAATTTAGACAGAATCAAAATATTAGATGTGTATAAGAACTGAGAATACAGGAATGAGAATTGAAATCTTTTGACAATACTGATTACCTACTACTCAGTACAACAGAAAGGACCACATCCAGATCTTTTACAATTTCCCATGAATACTTTTTCTTTCTTCAAAACTTACTTTGGGGCCCTCCCTAGTGGCACAATGGGTTAAATTGCAGCACTATGAAACAATCTGAATCCATTGCAGCATGAATTCGATCCTGGCCAGGGAGCTGATCCACATGGCAGGGATTACCACCTACTGCGCAGGAGTGGATTTCACTCAATCCCCTCAGCAGTGGATTCACTCAATCTACCTATTTTGTTCTGTACTCTGTCTCTGGTGAATCCTCTCAACCATTCCCACCCCCCACGTCTGGTCTGTACCAAAGTTCTTATGTGTATAAAATACATAAATTTTTTTTTAAAAAACTTGTATTAAATACCTGTAGACTTATAAATGTTCCCTTTACCACTAAATACTTCTGTGTATCCTTAAAAATGGACATTTCCTTACAGATCACAAATAGCAAAGTCAAGAACAGTGGTATAGTACAACTTTTTAAGAAACACACAGGCCTCACTCAAATTTTTCCTAATTGTTTCACTAAGGTTATTTATAACAAAAACAAACAAAAAAGAACCACTCTGGTTTATACAACCCAGAATGACACACTGTCATTTAGCTATGTTTCTTTAGTTTCCATCAATCAGAAATAGGTTCATTTTTCTTTATCTTTAATGATACTTAAAGATGACATTATCTGGTATTTTATTTTTTAAGATTACAGAGCACTTACTTTGCACAAAGTCCCTTAATGATTCTTTTTTCTACCTAGAGTAGTAGGCACCCCACAAATAACACTGTGTCATTCTCTGGGCTTCTTATTAGGAGGCACATGATGCCTGGTCACTTTACCACTTGAATAAGATTGCAACTTTCAGTTTTTCCTATTGTATACTCTCAATTTCCCCCTCTTTTAATTAATAAATGTGGGAAACACTGTAGAGATACAGGTATCACCCAACTTACACCTACTATCTTTAGCAATCATTTATTGTCATCATTTGCCCAAAGGCAATTTTCTAATTCCACCATTCTTTCTACAATGAGTTTCACTATATGCAACTTCCTTTCTCTTCCATTTAATCATAGCACTTTATCTTATTATAACAACTCACATTTTCTTTAAAAAGACCAACAGTAACAAAATGAATGTGCATGCATACCAGTTAGGCCTACTGTGTCATGGCCCCCTGCTCTATACCATCTCCTCAAAAGTACTCTAACATAAAACCAAATACAATTGCTATATTTCTTGCCAACCAGTAAGATGTCAAAATGAAGATTTAAAAATATTATGCAATGGGGCCTCCATTGTGGTGCAAGGGGTTAAGTCTCTTCACTAAGAGGCAGTCCCAAGCCAGGGAGCTGACCCACATTTTACAGCAGACCTCTCCTGTCTTGCCTGCTGCTCCCCTCAGCAGTGTGTTTCAGTAGATCTGCCTGTTCTGCTCCCCACTATGCCTCTAGTAAATCCTCTCACCTCTTTGCACCTTTGGCCTATACCCCAGTATTTATATATATAAATAAATAAATCTGAAAATAAATAAATAAATAAAAATATTATGCAAGTTTTCGAGCAAGGACACAAACTCAGTACTTACAGTTGTGCTGGAATCACTGTACCACAAGAAGCCCACAGTGTTATATCACATAGTAGGCAGCCTTGAATAATTAGCTTCCCTTTCCATGGAGAGAGAACTTTAAGATATAAGGATAAGAAACAGATTTTATTTGTGAACAAAACATTTCTTAAAAAAAAAAAGTTGAAAAACAAGATCATTTCTTACCATTTTCATTGATTTCAAGTCTGGGGAGGAAGGAAAAAGAAAAATCTTTTTATAAGAGCAAAGGAAACAAAATCAGTAAAACAAAATATAGACACAATTACTTACATGTTTTTATGAGTGGGTGCAGCCATCTTTTTTGGTTCCCTGTACTGAAAAGTTACAATTACATAAGGACAGAGCTGTCTGGGTCTCTCCGTAAAAGTGTTGCCTGAAAGCTCATAGAGGTAATACTGAAATTAGAAAAATTAAGTATTATGAAGAGAGCACTGGGAACTCCTATATCACCAGGTTATTTCAATCCCACCCCATCCTGAAATTTAACACATTAGACTAAGCTATGTATCTTAGAAATTTATTCCCAGGTAACTATACCTGACTCAATTCAAAGGTACGAAAATGACTTGTCTTGTGAGAAACCTTGTTAGTATTTGCAGCCACGTGACAATCATAGCCAGAAGATGGGCTAGTATAGTTAGTTGTATAATTTTCAGGCACAAACTTGACTTTTCCCTAGAATGAAAATATAAAGACTAAATCAGATGTTTTCAGATAGCAATAACCTTACGCTACAATTTAATTACCTTACAATTCTTATTGTACCCTGATAAGATCATGTATGTATGTGTTTTAACAAATAGTTAATTGTATTATAAACTATGACTCTTAGAAAATTACCTTAAGGTCAATAGTAGGTTTAATTATCCATGCATGAACTGCTTGCTAAAATATATAGTATGTTGCGTGCCTCTTTATGGCAAATATTTAGAGCCTTTGTCACAGTATCTAAGGAGTACTGAAATAACCCCAATTTAAAGCGAATCACTTTAAAAGAAAAACCACAAAGTGCACCAAATTGGCACTTCAATTATTTTTTGTAATTAAAAAAAAAAAAGATCACGAGTGAAATCTACAATTTCAAAATTAAGTTTTCCAACTGAAATTTAACTTGCTAGTTATAAATTACATAGGTATTTCTGTTAGGCCAGAAGTCAGTAAATCAGCAAGGTGCAAATCTGCAGTAAAGGAGCAAACACGCAGTAAAGCCCTTGGCTTTACTAAGGTCAGGTCACTGCCCTGATTGCTCAACAATTTGACAGTCGTTCCCTTTATTAATTTCTCTGTTGTGCTACCAGGGAGGACCCCCCAAGAAGAATTACTTTTAAAAAGTTTGCTTTTGTTTTTCTTTTGCTGTTTAGGTGCTACCTTTTCATTTAAATAACCACCAAAGGTAATATTAAGAAGTCAAAGATTCAAAATAGTACTCTAAGTGAGCAATTATACTGTTTCTTCTCCCCATCATACATCTTATAATATTGGACATGGCTGGCTGTTGGATAGTAATACAAGGAGGACTGAGAACATTTGGGCAAACACTAAACAGTGATATCCAATCAGAAAGGAGCAAGAAGCCAAAGATGAGATGCAATCTGAATAAAAAAAAAAATAAAAATAAAAAACATTTGTTATCTTAGCTAGCTTACAGACACACTTTCTGCAAGAGAACTATTGTACTTTTCACAGGACAGAAGGAAAATCATGGCAGGAAAAGCAGTGAGGTGTACCAGTGCAATGCTACTTTCCCTTCAGTTCCTGAGACAAATTTTGGAATAGAGAGTTCACATTCTTTTTAAAAAGTTAGCAGTATTGGGTTTATAATCCAAGAGAGTTAAACAGATGGTAAGATAGTAAGAATGTCAAATTAAAGCAAAAACAACAACAAAAAAGACCAGAGAAATGTGTCTTCAAAAAAGTTACCAACATCTAAAACCAGAACTGTCTTACTGTTTGGGTGAAAATCTAATTGTGTAATTCACTTATACCGCACAATTTAAGGATATTTAAGAACTTGTGAGTTCACTACAGGTGTCACAAGAAGTTATGAACCAAGTCTAGGTGTTTCATGGATAAAAAAGTTATTTTGACAATTTAAACTGGACACTGGATGTTCCTTTCAAAATTCACATTGTTTTACAAGCAGCTACAAGTTTTTGTCATGTGATGTTTAAAAGTGATACTGTGGCCTTTTCTGGTGGTGCAGTGGGTTAAAGCACAGCACTAAGAAGCTTAAGCCACTTCCGCATGAGTTCGATCCCCGCCTGCCCCGGAGGGGATCCACATGGCATGGCAGACCTCTCCTGACCCGCCCGCTGCTCCCCTCAGCAGTGCTTCATGGATCTGCCTGTTCTGCTCCCCACTCTGTTCCTGGTGAATCCTCTCACCCTTCGCATCTCTGGCCTGCATCCCAGTTCTGTATAAATAAATCTTTAAAAAAAAAAAAAGTGATACCTTCAGGACAGGGTGTAGAAAACACATTTTACTTTGTCCTTTTATAAAGAAAAGCAAAAATAATCGTTATTTTTTTCTAAATTAGTATAGCTATCTTCATTAGTGATCTGCATAGAATATTATCATAAACAGATAATCTTGACTTTCTAAAAGGAAAATTTACCTAGACACACATTTGGGCTTTACCTTAATTAGATTAAAAATTACAATATAGCCAGACTTCCCATGATACCATGGTCTTGCATGAAGATAATCTGAGTACTTAGAAATGTAGACACCTGTAAAAGAATAAAATATAATTTACACTTCAAAAGATTGTTTACATATATACAATTCATACAAAGGGCAACTTATTAACAAGATTACACAAAAGACAAAGTAAACATTTTTAAACAGTTGAATTGTATATTTTTTCCTTAATATTTTAAAAGTAAGTTTTAGCTGTTAACATTGGGATACCCTCATCAGTTATTACCACCATAGTGCATCCATTGTCAACTCGTCCACACTCCACCACACACCATCATAAGTCTCTCTTCTTACCTGTTCTTTCTGCTTCCTCACTCTCTCCTCCTCTGTCCTCCCCAATCTAAATTCTGTAGTGTCTATCAAGGACCAGTTTTTCAGCTTGTCTTTATCTGACTGTTAATTTAGCTACTTTATATTCTACATACTAAGTGCTGAATATATCTTACAAGTTTGTTTTACATAGAATTACTACATGATCCAGCAATTCCACTCCTAGGTATATATCCTACACAAAAACTTATATATGACCATAACAAGTAATAGTCAAAAATGTTCACCAAACCAAATGTTCACCAACTGCAGAATGGGTAAATAATATGTGGCATAACCATACAATGAAATATTATCCAAATAAAAGGAGAATGAAGTACAGGTATTTGCTATAAGAGATGAATATCAAAAAGATTAAATAAAAGTAGTTATCAAAAGATCATTTATGATTCCATCTATATAGAATGTCTGAAATAGAAAATTCAGAGAGGCAAAATGTAGAATATGATTGCCTGAGGTTTGTGGAGCTGGAAAATGAGGAATAATTGCTAATAGGTACATCTTTTCTTTTTAAGATGATGAAATGGTATAAAACTGATTTGTGCTGATGGCTATAACACTTTCACTACACTAAAAACCACCAAACTGAACACTTTAAGTTGATGAATTATATGGTATGTGATTTTATCTTAATAAAAATCATAATAAAACTGTTAAGGGGTAAAAAAGTCAGCAAAGCCCAAGTAAGCCTCTCAGTACTAATCACAAACTCTGTAGCATCTAACACTGCTAGATACCTGTCCCTGAGCTCCTTCTGCTTTCTGTACAACTCTACTTTCTGATTCTTCACTCACTGAACTGTTTTTGACTCCAACTCCTATCTGCTCTCCTTTTCCCCACCTTTACTCTCATAAAAGCCAAAAAGTTCTATTCTTGCCATTCTTCCAACTATACTATCTCATGAAAAATACCCTTGTCTCTACAACACTAGTGCTTGAGACCTTAAATCCCAATCCCCACTCCTATTTCCTTTCCCATCTATTTTTACTACCAGCATATCTTCCTGAAAGACTTAGGTAAATCTTGTTATTTCTCAAATGTAATTCATGATAGTAGTAGTGTCCATTTGCTGAGAACTTATGTCTGTGGTAATAAGCACTTTCTATAGTCTCATATAATCCTTACAACCAATCTACAAGGTAGCTTTATCTATTTTACAAATGAGGAAACTGAAGCTTAAAGGAAGTCATAAGATTACCTTCTTCTTTTAAATCATGAGCTTCTCCACCAGTCTCCTTTTCTTCTGTCTCCCTTCTGTTAATATATCGCTGGAGTCTAACTTTAATACCTTATATTTGACGATTTCCATTCTCTAACCCTCACATTCCATAGTTGCCACGTTTGGTCAGTTCTATCCATTCTCTATTCCTATTTCCATTGTGGTAGTTTAGATGAGACATTCATTAACCCTAGATGACTAATCTTGTGGCAACAAAAGATATACATCCAGTATCTTTTCTAGTTCTAATGTTTTAAAAAAATTTGCAATCACATAATTCTTATTAGAAAACCTTAGCTCAGATTCAGAGCTCATTTGTATGTTTTAAGTACTGATTCTAAAGATTACGTATTACTAAAAAAATTTTAACATAGGTATTTTAAAATTAACTAAATTGTATTTTATTTTGTTAACAAGAGACTCTTTTTCTTATGGACTTACCTTTTGCTGGATCACCCAAAGTGGTAATTGCACTGCTGCCAACACAGAGTCCACGCTCACATACCCTCTTTGCCTTAAAAGAAAGACATTACTTTGCTGATCATATCACTCTGGGAGACACGTAACATTTTAAGCTGTATCTTCAGAATAAATATAGAATCTGTACACTGTGCATTCATGGCATGAAAGACGCTTATATACAAGGTAATTATGCTTTAGTCAATGGTTCAAAGGTTTTCATGAAATTTTACCATTTCACTTAATAAAAATGTCATCAGCAAAACCAAATTAAACTCAAGGGAAGTCCTCTCTGAAGATTTCTTTCTCAATTATTCCTCCGGAATCACAAAATTTGAAAATGTCTTACTCCCAAATACCTTTTTATTTTATATGAATTCCTAGCCTATCTTATTTGGAAGTAGGTGATTCAGTAAATAAAGTGTTCTGGTACTATGTAATACTTAAGTTGTATGATAATGTTATTCTTTAAGCAAATCTAAAGAAAAAAAGTCATGAACCCAACCAAAATATTATCTTTGAATTATTTTAGGTTTGATAACAGATCTTTTCTATTATAAAAATTATAGCTAAAAAGTCAATCTTTTGAAGATACGTCCTGCACACAGGAGTTTCCTATTCCCACAATTTAGTAATAAGCAACAATATGAATATTCAACTGTTAAAGATAGGCATGAATCAATTCCATGTAATTAGAATACTGAAAGCATTTATCTTATCCTCCAAACTCTGTGTGATAAACCTCCATATGAAACAAAGCACATCTATAAACAGGGTCTTCATGGCACAACCCACATGGCACGCAAATCTCTCCTGTGTCGCCTCTGCTTCCCTTAGCAGTGCAAGATTAAAGGTCTCATTCATTTTGTACACTGATACCACAAAATTAGTTTTCTAAAATGAAATTCCCTTACCTGATTTTCAGTTTCAAACAGAAGAAACCCGTAAGTTTCTTGAAGTTCTTCCTGAGTATAGTTACTTGCTTTTTTTTCTTGGTAAAAAGTTTTGTACTGTATAGAGATAACAACCAAATGCTATGAACATGTTATAATATAATTTTTAAAAATACATTCTATATTCTTCCTGCTAAAAGACATAAAATTATTTTTCTATTCCCTATAATGCATTTTTATTACCTTCCAAGTGACACTTTCCAAGCCTTTTTTAATCCATCTGATTAGGCTTATATACCAAAAACAATGGGTATATTTCTTTTAAAACTAAAATAAAACTAACACAGTGTGTACCAAATACCTCACCTCATTTAAGAAAATGTCATTTTTCACCAAAGTCACTTGACTGTACTGAAAACCAAGCTCAGATGCAGAGTCCAAGTAACCAGTATGGAGAATTGAAACTGCCCTCTGGAAGAGAGAGTCTGAACTCAAGGACACTGTCTCAAAAACTGTAAAACACAAACAAAAACAATGCAGTTTTTTAAGATAGTGAAAAGAGGGAGCAAAAAGTGGCATGCTAAATGTCACCTAGTGTTTCATCTACATCTTTCCTGTATAACCAAGGTATTTACAATGTGTTTTGGCTATCATTTCTGCACTATTTTAACTTAAAATAATTTTTAAGTGAAGAATAGATGATAACCAAGAGTGAATTACTCTAAACCAAGATTAGAACATTCCCTGCAACATCCTTTATGTCATTTGGTTTAAAGCTGTTTGTAACTACAATCTACAAAAGCAGAAAGATTGTAGGTTCAAATTGTTGGTCAGCAATTCCAGAGACTGGGTTTCTCATCCTTAAGTTTTTTTATAGCTATGCTATATTTGATAAACTTACCCTTACATTTTCTCATTAAATGCCCAAGTCTGGTAGGTTTCTTTTAATGGGGCTACAATTACATACAGCAAACACATCCTATATCTGAAATACAGGGTTAGAGATCATCCTATATTTGTGGTTTTCTTACTGGCCAAGATGAATCTATTGAGCTTTTAGTTTATATGGGCTGTATTATAAAATCACTTTTTAAAAACTTTTAGAAAATAAAACTATTACTTTTGGTAAATTGCTTTTTCAAATCATACCCATGTGCTATACTAGAGATTCTGCTATTCCATGAAAGGTGTGTTTCCTAACTGAGAATTATTGATTTAATCTAATAGTTTACTTCATTGAGTTTTTGTGCCATTTGGTTTTACAAGTCGTTATTTTAGCAAGAAGTGACCTTAATGAATTCTCACAATATTTAACCATTTGGTTGTTTTAATCCTTTCTATTTGTAGCCTTTCTTTTCTCTTTGACGAAGTTTAAGAGCTAGAAATGGATTATTTATAAATAATAAAGAGTGGAATTTACAGAGCATTAGAAAATTATAAAATAAATACATTAATATGGCATCAATTTTTAATGTAATATTACTTGCATTAAAGTTCAAAGGTATGAGAAAAAACATTTCAATTAAAGTTAACTTATGGATGATATTTATAGCTGTATCTATATATAAAAGAAACTACCAAAGAAATTAAAACTTTCTAGTACAATTTATTTGGACTAAGCCCTCCTAATACGTCAGTTATCAAGGTAAATTTTAAATGCTTTATAAACAAAACTCTCCAAATTGAAACCAAAAGATAATAAAGTACAAAGAAGGAAAGAAAAAAAGTGAAATGTTTTTTACTTTCATTTTTTGTTTCACTTCCTCCTTCAGTATCACTTATGTCAGTATCATAAAAAATATGGCTAGCATAAGGATTCAAAGAGTAAAAGACCAGTGATAATAATTAAAAAGCATGGCATATTTTTGTAGCTGCAATGCAAACAAAACAAAACAAAACCTGGGAAATCTATGCATATGCAAATTAAGCTTGCAAATAAGCTGCACTGCTACCTCAACTGCAAATCAGAATTTCCTTAAAAAAAATCATAAACTTGGAAACCTTGTGTTTAAGATTCTTTAAAAGACAATATAACATTAAAAAGTCTAAGTATATTCTGAGATTCAATATTTGAGAAGCAATTGTTTACTGAGAAAAAATTTCAAGGTGTCAGATTTTTGGTAATGAACATTCTATTGAATGTGTTTATCACCTTTTAAAAATTCTGTGAAAAGTTATATAGGTAAACATAAACTGTAAGTTTTAAAAGTACTGATTGTATTATAGCCCCATTTTTTAGTTTCAGAGAACAATAATTTGAAAACTGAGGAACAGTACAATGAAAAAACAAACACAAAACTTTTATAACAGTGTTTCCTAAACACACATGGCCAGAAAACATTTTTTTATTGAGAAATCTTCCCAATAAAACTATGACTAAAGGTAAAAACTCAAAACAAATGAGGAGGAAGGTAGGAGATTAAATATTTTGTGATATTTTTATTTCAAAAACATTTAAGGTCAAAAATCTTTCCCTTAGGTCACCATTCTCCAAATAACAATATACTTAGAAGAGTAATCATTTTACTGAGCAGAAGGAAAAGCATGTTGACGCTGATTGAAAAGCACAGTAAATCTTTATTCTTTTGTCACTTAAAAAAATGACCTCAATTATATTCTCTAGAATGCAGAATAGTTACTAGTAAGTAGATAAGGATTTTATCTGGATATTATGTTATTAGGTAAAATACTTTTATTTAAGAGTCTAACTATTGTACCAATCAATGTGGCACTAAATAAATGACTGTCTCTTTTTTGCTGAGCAATGCCCATTTAAGCATTGATAGTTATCAATGAAGACAGGGCTACTCTACAGAGAAACTGAAAATGATACCTCAGAAGTAACTTAAAGATCAATTACAAATGGTTCCAGAAACTGAATTAACATTCTTTCCTGTAGCACCAAGTTTGGGGCACATTTCTCTCCTATATTGCAGAGTCTTAAAAGTTAAGTAAAGCTTGACACAACAGTTGAATTCTCTGCATCAAACTCCTGCATTCTTCAAAAATCCATCAGATATTCTGAGTATCTGCTTTTAGGCACTTTTTCTCTTTTAAACTCCTTAGTAGAGGGACTAGAAAATTATAAACCAATCCTCAGTGCTATACTACAGGCACCTGTCTTCCATTCTATTAATGCCTAGTCAGCAAGCAGATTATTAAGATTAATGCCAACAATTTAGGTATCACAATAATTCTAACAAAACTACATGCTTCCCTATAATCCCAGGATTTTCCTGACTGCAAGTACTAAGTAAAAGTGCTAATCAAAGATGGAAACATTCAGAACCCAATAGTTATCTGCCATTAAAGTTCCTTATCTAGAGACATCGCAACTTAGATCGTTAATGCTATTGATGACTATATATCTGTATGTAGTTTAGGTAGGTCATTTAACAGTTGTTGAAGGAAGAAACCATTCCTTAATCATCGAAATCTAAAATATATTAACTCTACTTTTAAGTTGTTAAAAATTTCCACTTAAGATAAAGAATTACAACTTCGTTAGAACACAATTTGGCAGTATTCAACAAATTTAAGTGGGCCTACCAAATAGTTATTAATTTCTGGGAATCTGTATCTCAGAAATGCTAACAAAGGTGCACAGGATATATGGATAAAGGCGTTGTATGCACCAGCATCTATAACAGCAAAAACACTAAAGACAACCTAAAATAACATCAACAGGGAAAAAAATCTGCAAGCTATGAAATAAAAATGAAGTAAATTTATATATACTGATATATGAAGACATTATATGTTATTGAGTAACTAACATGCATTGTATAAGGTCTTTTGATGAAACAAACAAAAAACCAAAAAAAATTTGGTGTTTGAAAGTACAGAAAAAGGTCTGGAGAGATGGGAAATCAAATTGGTTAAGTGTTTAATAGTTACTGAGCTAGGGATGCAGATAAAAGGGGAATTTACATTTTTCACCTTATACATATTACTACAATTTAGGTTTTTCCTACACAAGCATGGATTACTTCCATTTAATATATATGAATTCTTCCATTTAATATATATGAATTCAAAAACAAATACAATGAATCATAATTTCAAAGGAATGTAAATAGAGGAATATTGCAATTTCCCTTGAACATAAACCTTTTATGATGCAATTTGGAAACTTAATCACCTATCAATTTTGGATTGGTGACTACACGAACATTAAAACTATTGGAAATGATATTTTTTTAAAAGTCCTTACATATGTAAATTAAAATTCCAAGAAGTGCATACTGTTTTATCCGGGATTCATTAGAAATAACTTACAACATTTAGTTTAATACCCACTCTTTTCTGTAATGAACCCTGTCTCGGTCTTCTCTAAGAGAGAATGTAGCTGGGAGGGTGGTCTTAATTCATTTTCACCAAGTATACCCCCAGAATTCTTGACATAGTCCTGTTCTCTGTTTATGTCATAAATGCTAAAATGAAAAGAGAGAAAATTAAATCATAAAGTGAATAGTTAATTCTCTTTATGGCATAGCTATTATACAAACAAAAGATTACCCACTACCTAACCTGCAGGAGGTATAATTCTCTTGACAAGTCAGCAGACTTGGAGGGCTAACTACAGTTCTATATACGTGATGCTCTGTAAGTAGCAACACATTTAATGTGAAATCTTTTTCCTCTAATATTCTCTAAGATCTAAAACTTTTGCTCACAGAAATAAATTATGATTAGAGGAGTCACTTTTGTCTCATTGGGGAAAAAAAAATCTTTCAAAAATGAAGAGCAGAGATTTTAGAATCACATCCAAGATCTACTGGTTGGAATTAATAAAGTCAAATAGGATACAGTTAAATAAAATTTCTCCCCACTCTCAAATTAGCAGTACATGGCTCATCCAACCATTAAGCAATATTAAATTATTATTATTGATCTAAACATGGAATTTATCAATACAAATGAGTACCACACTGTACTCTGAAAGAGATCTTAGACTCGGAAAGAAAAACCTGTAAAAAGAATTCAATACTATAAATGTGTAGGAGAATCTAACATGACTTGGCTGGTGCCATACAGTAGAAACAACCAGTTTCACTGAGATAGTTATACACAAAGAAAGTTTTCAT